ATAGAGATAATACTAACCAGGTCATAGGGTAATTGTGAGGAGTGATAATATATATAAAGCACCTAGCATAGTTCTAGGCTTTCAATATTTGTTTCTTTCAAAAACAGTGTAATTACCAGTTATAGAAATGGGTTTTTGCTCTAAATTATTTATGCATGACCTATGGTATGGGAGATGTAAGTTATCTGTGATTTTTCTTTCTGCCTTGTCTTCTATAAAAATAAAACACAGGTTATGTTCATGCTCTTGTTCTAACAGGGTAAAGAAGGCGAGGGTGTCAGAAAACATGGTGACTCTGACTGTATTGTTCTATTGGAATTTCATTAGTTATGCCCTGATAACCAGACAGCAGGGGCAGAGAGAGAGGCCACATTGATATTCAGTTCAGACACTGACATGTTTGGCTTCATCTCACAGAAGATTTTAATATAGCCCAAATTCTCTTCCCTTTCCTGGCCTTAGAAGTTCAGGTGCCTGTTCTATTTTGAAAGATCCTAGCTTGCAGTTTGTGATCTAAAGCTAAAGCTATCGGGCACCTGGGTGGCTCAGTCAGCTAAGCGTCTGAGGTTGGCTCAGGTCATGATCCCAGGGTCCTGGGATCCAGCCCCGCATCAGGCTCCCTGATCAGTGGGGGGCCTGCTTCTCCCTTTCCCTGCTGCTCCCCCTGCTTATGTGCGCGCTCTCTCTGTCAAATAAATAAATACATAAATAAAATCTTAAAAAAAAAAAAGAAGCTAAAACTATCAAGATTGAAACATAGTCATCCTCTTCGCTTCTGCCCCCTCTTTCTGGGTCTGATTCTCCCTGCCTTATTCCTTTTCTTTTTATCAGTATCTGAAGTGAGAGTCAGGGTGTCTTCTGCTCGGTTTACCTTTTCTGTATATCTCCCAACAGCTCATTTGTTCCCTCCTCCATTTCTATCACTACTCCTTTAGTTCAGGTTCTTAAGTTTTGCTAAACTAGTGCTACAGTAACTTGGTTTGGTTTCCACTGTCCACTTGCACTCCCTACTCCAGTCTTCTGACAAAAGGGTCTTTCTAAAATGTGCAATTAATCATCTAATTTTTGCTTTCTTCTTGCTAGACCCAAATACCTATATGATCATATTTAAACTCCTCAGCATGATGCATAAGATCTTTTATAATTATGCATTTAAAAAATATTTGGCTGCTTTTGTTAGCCATTCATTTTAAAAAATAGATTATTTATTTGAGAGAGAGAGAGAGAAGACACGAGTGGGGGAAGGGTTGAAGGATGGGGAAAAGCAGGCTCCTAGTTGAGCAGGATTCCTGATGTGTGGTGCTATTGCAGGATCCTGGGATCATGACCTGAGCCAAAGACAGACGCTTAATCAACTGAGCTACCCAGGCATCCCATCATTTTCCTTTTTAAAATTTCATTATTTTCACTGTTCTTCCTACTCCATTCTTCTTTCTACTCTATGCATATGGAATGTGAAATTTGCTGACATGCTGACATGTTGAGACGTCTCTCTATGCTTTTATGTGCGCTGCCTAGAATGCTTTCTACCTTATTTAACTGGTCAGTGGCCAGCCATCCTTCAAGACCCTGCTAGTGTTGCTTTTGGAAAGATTTTCTAAATATTTTTTCTTCCCAATCTCCTGTCCATGCTCTGCACACTTCTCCACCATGTCCTATGGAATGGTGCTGTCCAGATGGTAGGTCCTAGCCACACGCGGCTGGTCAAACGTAAGTTAAACTTAATAAAATAAAAAATTCCATCCCTCAGTTGCACTACCATATTACACGCACTGTTTAGCCACATGTGGGCAAGGGGCTACTGTATTGGATAGCACAAAAAAAGAAGTTACTTATCACAGAAAAGTCTATTAGCTCCTGCAGGGTTAACTATACTTTTCTCATGTTGCCTCTCCCTTTGATGCTTTGTTGATACTTCTTTTGATTCCACTGTTGCACTTATACTATTATTTATTTACATGTGTTTTTCTCTATTAGTGAAAGATTGGAGAGCAGAGATATAGCCTCTTCATCTATGTGTCTTGGCTTGGATTTCAGGGTTTAGCATATTATAGTTTTCAACAAAAGTTTGAGTTGAATTGATGTAGTGAATTTTAGAAGGGAATTGCCTCCACTTGAAAGACTTCTAATACTGAAACAGTTGTATGTCAGCATGTTTTATAAATATATACATAGATATGTATTATAAATAATATAGTAAGTTTATTATATAATACATATTTAGGAAAATAAATTTAAAGCTATTTAAAACGCATTTCAACTTACTGAAAGAGTAATACATGAACATCTTTATATGCTTATTATAGAGTCGAAAATAGCTAACATTTGCCATGTTTACTTCCTCTTTCTTTCTCTCTTTCTGTCTCTGTGGGGGTGTGTGAGTATGTGTATTAAGTTTTCTTGCTGGTCCTAAATCCTTCAGTTATCTTCTAAGAATGAGAATATATTCTGCCTAATTATCATGTCATTCACCTGTAGGAAAATTAGTGTTAATATTGACATTTCTTCATTTGTCCCTAGAATATCTTCAATAACTCTGTCTTTGACCCAGAAGCCAATCAGTGTTTGTGTATTGCATTTTGAGATGTTACTTTTGTCTCTTAATCTAGAATATATTACTGGTTCTTTATTTTTATTTTTTTATGACATAGACATTTTTGAAGAATTCAGACCAGTGATTTTATAGCATGTGCCATTATCTGGCTTTGTGTGATTGCTTCCTCATTATAATTTTAGGTTAAAGTGTGGTATGAAGCCCACATAAATAATTTTGTGTGCCATTTATTACATTATAGCAGGAGGCACATAATTTCTAACTGTCTATTAGTGATGATTCTAAGTTTGATATCTTAGGGTGGTGACCATCATATCTATTATTCCTTTCGTAATTATAATTAAACCTTATCTGTAGGGTCAGATCATGTGAATATCCCATTCCCCAGCAATCTTTTACTCAATGTTTTACCATCTGTTTATGATCTTTCTTTGAATCATTAAAACACTGATGGTTACAAAATGGTGATTATCTGATTTTATCATTTCTTTTACATGTATTTTCTCACATATTTCTGTAAAGAAGAGCTTTCTTTCTACTCCTCTCTTTTCCACTTTCCTCCTCCTTCCGTCTATCCCAACTTTCTTGAGTATCATCATGGACTAATGAATTTTCAAAATCGCTATTAAATATGTTATAATTGCCATAATTTTATTTTTGGCACTTTAACTTATCCCATATTTGGCTAGTGGGAGCCCCTTTAAACTGGCTATGGTGTCCTTTTATATAACTTTGTTTTGAACATTTTCTTGCTTCCTGAGACAGCAAGGTATTCCACATTTGCCTTGTACATTCTTTGCCCTAGACCTGAGCTCAGCTATTTCTACAAGTAGCCCCTATTCCTGTTAGTGGAAAATAGTATTTAGAAACCAAGATCTGGTCACAAGACGTGATCATTGCTACTGAAGTGTTATTGCTTCTTCAGTGAACAGAGCTAGGGAATATAACTTTTGAAGAATCTTTGGTTTATACAGATACATTCAATTTGCATCCCATTGTCACAGAAATCTCCCCGACACTTCCCCATTTTATGTGGATTTCTTTTCTTCCGCAGTGAAAATCCTGCTTTCAAACAGCACCAGTATATTTAATTAGGTCTACCCTTCAATATTCTTCAGTTGATAGTACAATACTAATATTATACCTCTAGCAAGCCTACTAAGTAAACTTCACAGTTTCTTTTCTCCTTAGAGTCCATCTGATTTAAGATATATACTCAGAATACTACTTGAAAGTTACTTGATTTCTTTTTGATCTATAGTTAGCATCATTTTTCTGTTTGACTCAGTTGCAAGGTTTGCTTTTTCATCCTTTTTGAAGTCTTATTCCCATTTTTATCCCATCTACCTCATGCCCACCCATCCTCTTTGAGAGTGAGAATTTTCATATAAGTTTGATTTCTGAACCATGTAAATATTTTCCATAAAAATAAACAAACAGGATGGTCAGTAATAATGACTCTGTCCTCAACTATGCTTTTTGCTTCGTGTCTGATATTTGTGTTCCTATATCAACTATTTTTGCTTAGTTTTCAATTGGCCTGATTTTCTTTTTCTATCCCTTTCTTTAACCTGTGTGTGATTATGTTCTGGTGAAATGTATACAATTTGAGAAACTGATTTTTATCTAGGTTACTTTGTAGGTGCTTTTATGTTTGAATTGTTTTTCTGCAATGATATTCTTTGGTTCCCTCTGTCTTCCCTGTTTTGTTTTGTTTTGTTTTGTTTTTGTCTTCTATGGTATTGATTGAGTTATTTTTACTTCATTTTTTCTTTCTAATTATTTGGAAGTGATACATTCTAAATGCCTTCTTTTAATGGTCACTTTTTAAAAAGGATTTTATTTATTCATTTGACAGAGATCACAAGTAGGCAGAGAGGCAGGCAGAGAGAGAGGGGGAAGCAGGCTCCCCGCTGAGCAGAGAGTCCAATGTGGGGCCTGATCCCAGGACCCTGATACCATGACCCGAGCCGAAGGTAGAGGCTTAACCCACTGAGCCACCCAGGTGCCCCTTAATGGTCATTTTTAATGTCCATCCTTCTCATGCTGGTTAGTTTGTGTTGAATGTTCAATCAAATAAACCCATTGCTCTTTTTCATATGAACTACCAAATCAGGTTTGTTGAATTCTGGACTTAACACTTAAATTTTTTTTTCACTTAAAGGAGACTGTATGTTTATTTATTTTTTTAAATTTTATAATCTTAATTTGAAAAGAGAGTCTCAGTCATCCTATATGAAGAAAAATTGAGAGAAACTGGAGTGACCACCACCTTTCCTTCATAGCCTGCCATTTTGTTTGATTATAGAGTTATCTTAGTTTGATTTAGATATTTACTGGCAGTGATATACAAATTGGGACAAAGAAAATGTAGTTTTATAGTACTTAACAATCTAAATTAGTGTCTTGTGGTCTGCTTCTAATAAAAATCTTCTCTTTCTCTTAGGGCTGCTGCTCAGAGTAAATTAGGTCACTACACGGATGCAATAAAGGACTGTGAGAAAGCAATAGCAATTGATTCAAAATACAGCAAGGCCTATGGGAGAATGGGGTAAGCTCAGGCAAAATGTTCAAAGTGGTACTAGGGAGTATCAGACTTGCTGGTAATGGTTTGTTTTTCAGTTTCCTGCTTAAATTCTGCAAGGAAGATCAATATACCATTGAAGAGAGGAAATGACTGCAACTTCTTTGAGTTGGGATGTATGATGAATATATGTATGATGCATGGTTGGTTGTTGGGGAAAATCATACAACTGTGTTGAGTAGACTTACTTCATATTCAGGGCCACAAATCTCAAACGAGCACTCAGTATTTTGACGGACAATCCTACTATACTTCCTTCTACTTTCACCTTACCACACTCTTCCCACCTTCTCTTCTCTCTTCAGATTTCCACCACACACTCCATGGTGACTCTCAGCTCATGCCTGCCTTGCACTTAATTGAGAAAATAGATGCATTTAGAAGAAAAGTAACTCCTCTTCTTGCTTCTGAATGAACCAATCCACCTGCCTTTGTACCCTCAAAGACTGCCTTTTGTTCCTGTTCAGATGGAAGGGTTCTTTTCTCAGACTTGCCTTCACTCATGCTTTACATCTCGTCTCTTTGTACCTTCTCCAGGACTTTATGCTTGGAATCCTCTCCTTCATCTTCTGCAACACCAGATTTCCCACCTCCAAAAGTGACAGTGACTCCATGCAGAAAGTTCATAGGAAATCACCCATTGGAACTATCCTTTTCCCAGCGAGGCCATTTCCCAGCTCTTCCTTCTCTGAATGGCTCCCTTGGCTACCTGTGTTTGCTGTCTCATCTCCCTCAGGTCTCATTTGCTCTCCACTTACTCTGATAGGGCCTTCATCTCTGTCACTCTACTGACAGCTGTGTTCACAGTCCCCAGTTGACTGTATTTTGCCAGGGCCAGTGTTCACATGTGTATCCTTAACCTGCTCCATGTTTTAGTATTTGGCATGATTAACTTTTTTTTCTTTTAAAGTTTATTTATTTATTTAAGTAATTTCTAAACTACCCAACGTCACAGCTCTTCCAACTGAGTTGCCCAGATGCCCTGGCACAATTAACTTATTTTTGAAATACTTTATTCTCTCCACTTCTGTGACATCACACTTCCTGGTTCTCCTTCTACTTCATTGGATGCTCTTTCCCAGTCTCCCTTGCTAGTTATTCCTTCTCTACCACCTCTAAATAATGGTTAATTTCAGGGCTCTCTCCTCTGATGCTGCCATTTTTCTGTTCTCTCTTGTGATTGCATCCTGTCCCATGCTTTTAAATTCCATCCATAGTCAGTACTCATTATTCATGGATTCTGTATTTAGGAATTTGCATACATGCTGAAATTTTTTTGTAATCCCCAAATCAGTAATCACTGTGCTTTTGTGGTCATTCACGGAAGGGTAAAAAATTTGAGTCACCTGTCAGCAGAGGTCTGGTGAGATGGTGCTCTGCCTTTTTGTTTTAGTTTTCATGCTATAAACGAGTGTCATTTTCAGTCTTTCTAGGGCTGTATTTTTTTTCTTTTTGCATTTGCATGCCTTTTGTGATTGATTTCCCTGTTTACAGTGGCCCCCAAAATGTAGGCTGAAGTGTTGTCTAGTGTTCCTAATCACAAGAAGGCTACAGTGTGCCTTATGAAGAAAACATAATTTTTGATCAGAAATGAGTTGTGCTGTTGGCTATTGGCTAATGAATCATTAATATATAATTTATATATATATTATGCATATAATAGATATAATTAATAATATATATTAAATAAGCTTTCTTTAAAAAGAAACACATAATATAGATTGTTTTGATCTGTTCATGAAAATGTTGTGATCAAAAGCTCACAGGAACACAGTCCTCTATTCCCTCGAGGAACAGTTGTTCAGTATTTGCTAATTTATTATTTGTTATATTCTTTATAGAATATAACTACTGTTGTTAATGAGTTTCAACTGTATATGAAGATGCAGCTCTTAAGTTACATGTCTGAACTCCATACTCATATATTCAACTGCTTTTCATGTTTGATGTTTGATAGGCATTTAAAGCTTCCCCTGAGGCAAATAATACATTATATGTTAATCTAAAAAAAAAGGGGAAAAAAAAAGCTTAATATGCCCCCCAAAGAACTTTTGTTCCCTTCTTAAATCTTTCCCATCTCAGTAAATGGTACCATCATTCACCTCCCAGTACCAAAAGGTCAGAAGCCTAGGAGTCATCCTTCATTCTTATGCCTGGCACAACTAATCTATCAGCAAGTCCTGTCAATTCTGGTTTCCATATATATCTTGAACTCAAGCAGTGAATGTGGTCTTGTTTCTAAACCTAGTTCAAATTACTATCTCTTACCAAGGTTACTACTGTAGCTTCATAACTGGTCCCCCTGCTGCCATTCTGCCCATACCCATGGTGATCATCTTCAGAAAAGCCAGAGTGATTATTCTTTCTTTTCTTCTTTTTTTTTTTTTTTTTTAAGAGATGGGGAGAGAGAGGCACAGGAGAAGGGAGAGGGGCAGAGGGAGAGAGAATCTTAAGCTCTGCACCCAGCAAAGAGCCTAACATGGGGCCCAATCTCACAACCCTGAGATCATGACCTGAGCCAAAATCAAGAGTCAGAGGTTTAACCACAGTGCCCTCAGAGTGAATGTTCTAATGCATAAATCAGATCTGTCACTCCATTGCAACCACAACAAAATCCAGACTCCAAACCATGGTCTTACATGATCTGGCATCTCATTATTCCCTGACATCATCTTTCCACACTTTATTTTCTGTGCTCTCTCCTTATCAGCTTTTGTCTCGTTCCTTAAGTATACCAAACACATCACTCTCAGGGCCATTGTGTTTACCATGTCTTCTTTTCAGAATGCTCTTCCTTTGATTTTTCATGTAACTGCTTTCTACTCATCACTCAGGTCTTTTCACTGTGGCTGTCTTTGAGCAGCTCCCCCTTTCCTTAATATTATGATTTTATTTGCGTGTTTATTACTTATCTTTCCAGGTAGGATGGAATTTTCTTAATCTCAAGGACTTTCATCTTTCTCATTGTGAACTATAAAATAGTATCTGGTGTGAAGTAGGGTTTCAGTAATTACCTACTGATTGTTGATCCATTGAGGACTCCAAACAAAGATCTTTCATTGTTGACGAGAAGAAAGTGAATTAGGTTCTGAGAATTTTTCTGTGGTTAGACACTGTGTTCTGTCTTGATCAAACCTCTGGGCGCTAAGTCATCCAAGAAAGAAGTGGAGTAATTTGTTAAAAACAAGTCTATACTATAAACAACCTCAATACTATCTACCCGTATATGCCAATATTGCATTAGTTCTTAAGTAATTTTCTGATAAATTCTAACTAGGTAGAGAATAAGAAAATAATGAACTTTTTGATCTGTGCCTGGGATAAAAATTCATTGGGTTGTAAAGATGCTAATTTTATCTACTTCACAGCTAACATGTCTTCTTTACAAGTTCACTGATAACCCATCGCCCATTTTTATTTTTTATTTTTTTAATGGCAAGTTGATATTTATTGTGGCTCAGTGCCTTTTTTAGGAAGACGGAAGAAAATGGGGCATTCAGAGTCCTTAAAATGGTTTTAGCATCATGGAGTTACAGTGGCCTCAGTTTGTTAGTCAGCTCACATCTTTGCGGATCTTTATCATTCATAAGGCAATTACTTCACATATGAGGCTTACAATTGGAAGGGTAGGTAAGTTTCATTTCTTAGCATTAAATTCATGACTTATAGGATGGCCAAAGTTGTCAGCAAGCAGAAAGGAGAGAGTCCAGACTTACAGAATCTTGGAATTAGAAGGAATTTTCTTGATATTTGCCTGAATTCCTAATACAGTGAATCAAGTAAGCGTAGTCTGGATTCAAATTGAATACTGAGATAGATGTTTGACTATTGGTGATGTCCTGATATTCTTTAATCATATATCTTCTATTCTCATGTTTTCTTCTTTTCAGATTGGCCCTCACTGCCATAAATAAATTTGAAGAAGCAGTTACAAGTTATCAAAAGGCATTAGATCTTGACCCGGAGAATGATTCTTATAAGTCAAATCTGAAAATAGCAGAACAGAAGTTAAGAGAGGTATCTAGTCCTGTAAGTTATTAATGGCAGATGAGGGAAATATTTTCTGTCATTCTCAGTTTGTTATAATCAAATTATAGTGGTTGGAATAATTCTCAGCTATAATTGTTTTACAGACAGGAACTGGATTGAGCTTTGACATGGCTAGCTTAATAAATAATCCAGCCTTCATTAGTATGGTGAGTATATTTCCTTTTCTGCTCTCTGGCTCTGTTTTCCATAGAGCTTTATGGTTCCCAAACTTTTAGAAATAAATACTGGAGCTTTTGTGGTGATGGTAGTGGTAGAATGGGGACACAATGTTCTGGCTCAGGTTTTTAACCTTTGTATCTCTTTGTGAAAAAGACATGGAGAGACTTCAGGAAGCTCACAGATTCCCTGAAAATGTATAAAAAAATTTGTATACATGTGCACGTATGCATTTTTCTATGGAGAACTGTATTTTTCATCCAGTTGGCAAAGGGGTCTGCATATCTACAAAAGGTTAAAAACAACTCTTTTCCATGAAAGTAGCCCTAGGAAGATCTTTAATAATTGAAGTCTGAGTAGTTTGTCATGGTACCCTAAGCTCTCCTCTCATGGTCTGCTTACTTTCGATCCTGAGTTTATTTGAACTTTTAGTAGAATCCTCAGATGTATGTATTTTGTCCTTCAAAACAACAAAATGACTCATGGATCTTTTTAAAAACACACCTGCTCTGGTCCAGTTTTTGGAAACTGATTTAGTGGCTCGGGATGTTACCCAGGCATTTAAACCTCCTTGAGTGATTATTTCTGGTGGAGAACCATTTGTTCCACCACATGCCATGCCCTTGGAAGGCAGCAGTACCACCTGAATTCCTCTTTGGTTCTTAAAAAAAATGTGTCACGCATCCATGGAATCATTGAATTGAAATGCACAGATGGCTCACTCTCAGTGAGATAAAGAAGTCTTTTAAACAATTATTAGGTCTGTAGCAATTAGCTGTTTACAATTGGTAGTTGAGATCTTTGTAGACAGTAGGTAATTTTTGAATCACTAACTCTAAATGAGGTGTTGGGAAAGCCACCACTTGCTTTTAATTATCAGAGAGATAATTATTTGGCTGACTTGCACATAATTCACTAACTCTTCTCATGTCTCAGGATTGAGCCCATCACATTTAAGTTGGTCTTATCTACATGCCAGCAATTACAGGTCTCTTTGTAAGTTTTGTGACATTTTTAGCATTGTTACCCATTTCTAGGCCTCAGGTTATGCTATTGTAGTAGGATGTGAAAATCGATTTTTTTTTTTTTTAAGTTTCAGATTTGTCTTAGCCCTCAAGATGTTATGTACCAAAGTGAAGTGTTGCAGAAGGCGGCAGTTAAAAACATACTGTGCGACTTGTGAAGAGAGTGAGGTTGATAGACAGTAAGAGGATTTTTGGAGAAAGCTATTGGAGTTACAGAGCCTTTTTCCATGTGTGAGGGAATAAAGGGGGCCTGCCCTCCTCTGAAGCCCACAGAGAGGGCTTTTCTGGCCCACTCAGAGAGCTTTCTAGATGGCCCTCAGTAGGCTGGTGTCTGACCTGCTGGCTATAGAAGCCTGTGTGGTTTAGCAAATAACTATACTGATGGCAATGGAGTGGAGGGGTGTTTTCTGTGGACCAAGGTGAGCACACGTGCTCAGAAGATAGTCCATTGTGATCTGCCTGGAAAAGCCTCTTGGAAGGTGACAGGACTGTAAGAGAGTCTCTAGAGGAGGACTACAAAGAACCTGGGACTAAAGGGAAAGTCATAGTGTCCATCCAGAGTAAGTTACTCTTCTCAGAGGATAGATGAGAAATACCCAGAGGGGTGGGCGTGGGAGATGTTTCTGAAGGACCTTAGAGCCCCAAGAGAGATCCCGAGTAGTTGTAAACAATCTGTACATCCAAAGAGCACCATTGCAAAACCACTGAGATAGTACCAGTCATCAACTTTCCTGTACCCCTGACTCCCAGGACTCTTGTGCAGCCTGCTGGCGGAAGATGCACAGAAGCACTGTGGTGAAAAAGAGCAGGCAGTTGTGCCTCTGTCTTCTGGTGCGACTGGCCCATGCGAAGTAGGCCCAGGCCGGGGAGGGGAAACGCTTTGCCTGTAAATGAAGTGTTATGTATACGGTTATTACAATGAATAAGATGTGTAGTACTGAACCAGAGGTCGTTTTCTAACTTAAAGCGACTAGAGGGGGGCACCTGGGTAGCTCAGTTGGTTGGGCATCGGCCTTCGGCTCAGGTCATGATTCCGGGGTCCTGGGATCGAATCTGAGGTTGGGCTCCCTGCTTAGTGGGGAGTCTAATTCTCCCTCTGCCTCTGTCCCTCCACTCATCCTCTCACTTTCTCAAATAAATTAAAAAAAAAAAAAAGGCAACTAGAGGACTGTTTACTTAAAAGCGACCAGAAAAGCCCTAGGATCTGCTCTGTATTTCCTCTAGGTCCTAGAATCTAGAAGAGGATGAACTGCTTTTATAGAATCAGATTGAAAGGGCTGTGAAACAAGACTTTCTATTTATAGCTCATAAATCCTGCTTTTTCTGTGTAATGTCCACAGTATTTGTGTGTTGGTGCAGAGGCACTAATCCCAACCAAGACTTGAGGAAAGCTAATGAACTGTTTGCAAGTAAGTCAGACAGTTCTCTTTATGGCAATGAAAGCAAGTGATCGCTTTTTCCAACACCTCATGTAGGGTCAGTAAATCAAAATTACTGTCTACAAAAGATTTAGACTAAATGTTACATGAACATTTAAGGCAAAACAAAAACCAAAAACTGATATGCTTTCAAAACAAAGTTTTACAAGTGACCAGAGCTGAAGGCAGACACTTAACCAACTAAGCCACCCAGGCATCCCATTTGCGATGTATTTTCAATGCCATTTTTTCCTAGTACTTTCTCTTTTTTTACATTCATTCATTTTGTTTAAAAGTACACTAAAACTAGGGGCGCCTGGGTGGCTCAGTTGGTTAAGCGTCCAACTGTTGGTTTTGGCTCTGGTCATGATCTCAGGGTCATGAGACAGAGCCCTGTGTCTGGCACAGAGCCTGCTTGGGATTCTACCCTCACCCCTCCACTTCATGCACATGTGTTCTCTCTCAAAAAAAAGTACACTAAAACTCTTAACAATATTAAAACATACATGGTTTAGCTTTCATTCCTGGTTTTTTTTTTTTTTAAATCTTGGTTAAAGATCCTTAAATATTAACTGCCTTTAATGGGAGATGCCATTTTTCAATTCCAGGCAGCAAGTTTAATGCAGAATCCTCAAGTCCAGCAGCTGTAAGTATATTTTCCCTCCCAGCTGCCAGGTTCCTAATTTGAGCACATCAGTTCCAAAGTGATAAGTGGTAAATGGTAGATAAATGCCAGCCAATTAGAACTTGGAGCCATTCACATTTGGCCTGAATTCCTACACAGTGCGAGTATATTTAACTTATTTCTCCTTAGCCAGTATCCTCCTTGTTAAAGAATATGTGCTCATTCCAGTGACATATCTCTTGCCTATTCTAGAATGTCAGGAATGATGACAAATGCTATTGGGGGACCTGCTGCTGGAGTTGGGGGACTAACTGACCTGTCTAGCCTCATCCAAGCGTAAGTGTTACCTAAATAGAAATAGTAAAAAAAATTGTTTGATAGCTTGTCTCTAAAGTGAAGGGACCAGGGCTTTCTTTAAAAATTTTTTTCTTTGACTATTCGTTATCAGTGGCTTCATTGTTACTCAATTTAAAGAAGTTCATAACTTGGAATTTTCAGACTGAAGGGCAGGAATTCAGAAGATCTGTACCCATGAAAAAGTTTTCCAGCAGATTTGAATAGCTACTCAGGATGTAGATGAAAGTCAAATATCTGCTTAAAGTATGTACTAATTTAGGTATACTCATATATTTAAAAATGGTGTATTCCATATATTAATGTCCCGACAATTTAGGAGACTATTTTAACTTTTTCAATGCATGTCCTCACCAGAGGAACTCTTTGATCTTCTTATGACTTGAGCACACTACCTTCACTTCCACTCACATTGCTTAAGATTCTCTGCTTTTTGAATTGATTTTTGCATCTGTGTGTCACGTTGCCCCTGGAAATTTTATATGAAGACACAAGGATCATTTGCTTTTTGTGATCGCAACCATGTAATCCCGCTTACAAGATTGCATTTTTACAGTGATCTTTACGTGGCACGATTATAGTGATATGTAACTCTTGAAGATTATATACTCAGGAATTTGTATTAAGGTTCTTTGCCTTTGTAAAAATCATTTATGTTAGGTAACATATATGTAACCAAAATGGATGTGACAACTATCATATGGTGATATATAATATATATATATATATATATATATAATATAATATCATATTATATTTGAATGCCTGCAATGAAAGCATGTACTATTCAGCCCTCTGGTTGTTTATGGTTAAGCATTAGAGAGGCTGGATTTCACCCTGATTTCAGGAAGTCACTTTTTAGCATGGTTGTTTTGTTTCTTATCAAGAACACTGAACTGTAATAATGCTATATGGAGGTACTGGTAGCTGGAAGATACTAAAATCAGGAGCCTTAGATTGGTTTTTATAGAAAAAGTTCCCTTTGAGTAACACCCACATCCTCTGCGGTTCTGTCTGCATGGGTATGATATGACTCTAAATTCCCTAATTCATACCACTTTGCTTCTTTACTCCAGGGGACAGCAGTTTGCTCAGCAGATACAGCAACAGAATCCTGAACTCATAGAGCAACTTAGAAATCATATCCGGAGCAGATCATTCAGCAGCAGTACTGAAGAACATTCGTGACTTGACCAGGGACCCTGGCCCAGAGCACAAATGATTATGACTCTTAAGTGTTTGCTGTAGATAGTGGCCAAAACAAAGACACCTAAAGAATCAATCTGTCTAGATGATAGGTTTGTCATAAATAGACTGAACATAACATGACTCCTTTGTAAACAAATGATCAGTAGCCCTGTGGAGTGCCAGTATAGTACTGGACAGGGTTCCATTTTCAAATCTTCATCATTGTATTTGTATATTAGACCTAATAGCAGAGTATATTTATTGAACAGTAGGGCTGTTTATTGGTGAGCTCTCCAGCTCCAGATTCCCATAAGCAAACCCTTTTGAGTTTGATGGAGATGACCAAGAGGAAAGATTTCTCATGCTGGTTTAGAAATATCCTGGCCACTGAATAGCATGTCTGGAGGAAAGAAATTTGTTGTCTAGGTTTCATTTTGATAGTGCTGTCAGTACTAAATATAGATCACAGGGGCCAGTACTATCTTTAATGCTGCTTGTTCTGAAGGGTAACACGGAATACTAAGAGCTGGTGGAAAGCAGCATTTGGTGCAAGGGTTGTTTTGAAAAGAAAAATAGATGCTGTGAATGTACAGAGAGTGAAGGTAGGATGTTCAGGTTTTCTGCATAGTTCTTAACTAATCTTGCCTGCAGTTTGGTCTTGATAACATTAGCATGGCCAATTACTCTAAGTACATACATAATAAAATACATTTAGAAATCCTTAATGGTACTGTTTAGGTCCTTTGTATAACTGTTCAATTTAACTTGCACAGTTTCCCCAGTGGTGACTTTACCATGGAAACTCTCAAATATATTTACATTTAAATAAGCCAGTGGTTTGACCCTCAAGGATTTTCTAAGTGGTATTTAATTATGTGCATATAAATACTGATTTTTTAACAACTCACTAATTATTTGATGGATTATAAAAACTTCTATCACTAACATTGCTTGTTCATGTAAACCTTTGCTGTAATTTGGCTTGGCATGTTGCTTTTATGCTTAATCTTAATTTGATGCAATGTAAACATTAATAGGGGACTTAAAATATTTCACTGAAATCAGAATTCATAGTTAAGAAATGTGGCATTAAGTATTAATGGCATGGCTTTAACTACAGCGATGGTAAGACCATTCTAACTGGAATTTCTTTTGTTAATTATGGAATTGGTAAAATTGGGTGAACACATAACAATTTCACAAGTGTGAGAGATAACTGAAAAAGTAATATAAAATTAAGTCAGTAATACTCATGATGATGAGGGCCTTACTATAACTATTCTCCTCAGAAGACCTGGTATCTAGAAGTTTAAATACCAACTTTTCCTTTCTTTTCCCTTGTGAGTTTAGAATAATGGTTCTGTAATTTCACTGTAAGAATTCATTAAAAACGAAGTTTCAGAGCCATACTTTCAATTTTTATTTAATAGGTCCTGTAGTAAGGCTTAGGAATCACCATTTTAAATAGCATACCAGGTGGTTGTGATGTAGGTCCAAGGACTCTAATTTAGAGCAAAAGTAGGGTAGAGGTATCACCTCAGACCAGCAAATACCCGGATGCCTGCGTTCAGGTTACAAAGATGACCCATATAAATCCATAGTTCTGCCCAGAGAAGAGCAGCACTTAAAATTTTAGATCCTCTGAATTAAATCTCCTGAATTCCATCTAAACCAACTTAATTTTTCATAAATTCAGGTCCTAGTGTTAAAGTGTTAAACAGAATGAAGTACTAACTATTCACATGAAAGTTAGGACTGTTCTGGGGAAAAAAAAGGTGAAAGGGCGAAAGGTGATCCACAATTAAAAATTAGCTACTCCTGGGGCACCTGGCTGGCTCAGTAGGTAGAGCATGTGACTCTTGAGTTCAGGCTCCACGATGGGCATACAGCTTGCTTAGCAACAACAACAAAAATTAGCTACTCTTATCCAGTGGTAAGAGAAAGTTTCTAGCAAAACTATCTTGAGTGTGTTAAAATGCTCTTAGACCAATAAAATTGGTAAGCCTATAGATGACTGACTAGGAAAATAGAGAAAATACAAATCAACAGTACCAGAAGTAAAAGAGGGGATATCACTACAGCCTTTCAGACTTTAAAGGGATAATCAGAAAATAGAGTGACCAACTCTAGGTCCATATACTGAACAACTTACATGAAACAGATGAATTCACTGTAAGATAAAGATTAGCAAAGCTCAGGGAAGAAACAGGTATCCTCCAGAAAGGCAAGTTACAGGCCAAGATGATTTCAATGGTAAATTCTACTGAATACTTAGAGAAATACTATCAAATCTACACTCTCTCTTCAGAAACAGAAGAAGAGGTAACACTTTGCAACTCATTTTATTTAGCTATTTACTCTGATACCAAAATCAGACAAAGGCATTATAAGAAAAAACACTTTAAAACAATGTCTTGATTTGCTAATATCTATAACTGCGGTAAGCCATTCTTTTTACGAAGCACTGGTGTATTCCTTCCATTTCAACTTTCTAGTTTGTTTCTTGGTTTATATACCACCTATAACAAATTCACTTGAGGTATCTGTCCACTGATCTGGATTTGCATTCTATTCAAGCCAGTTTTGTTCTTCAAATACCTTCCTCACTTTGGAATCACTGCACTGCTAATTATTTCAAGGAAGTTTTGTGCAGATGGATTGTGCTAGCTACTCTTAAAATTATAAGGGACGCCCCAAATACTTTCCTGACTTATTTGGAACAGGAGGACATTAAAGTAAATCTTTATATACATTCTACTTAGGAATGAGTGGCTTCTGTTAACCACACTTCATTGTAATAGCTATAGCTGTTATGATGCTATGTAAAACTTTAAAGGTCCCTTTTATACAAATGACATTTTCATTTAATGTACCAAACTGTTTAGCTAATTTTTATAATATGGTTTTGACAGATCCCAAATGACATTATCTAACCTTTAGTTAGAGAATGGACAGTGTCTATCATAAAAAGAGACTTTGACCATTATATGTTACTTTTAAAAATCTGGAACGATGAAACTGAAGGTTCTGTCATGAGAAGATGCTTAAAAAACATTCAAAATACACAGTTCAGTGGATATAAAGTCTTATCATTTAATCAATCTTACTCATTCTGGAAGAAAGAAAGATTTCAGCTTTATACTGCTTGCACTTTATTTTGCACAGATAGTTCATTATTAGTGCAATTTAAGGGGCAGATCTCATTCTGAATATAGCTTTACTCTGGACCAAATAATTTGTCATGGCAATAAAAAATTATGCATTTAAGAAAAACCAATTTTTGTATTTGACTTAATGCACTCTAACATTTAAGCAATAATATTTACATCCTTGAATTTCAACTTATGAAAATAAGTTTTTATTTAACAGCATAAGCTTTCTGTTTCCTTCCAAAATACTCAAACTTATTATATTCATGTTGCAAACTTGTTTATAATCTTAACTTTCTGTTTTGTTCCTGGAAAAAGTAAATCACTGTGATTACATACAGAGACAGTTTTATAGTATTAATACATGATTTAGAGTTCAAAATCCAATAGCAGAAGGTGGAAATCCTTTAAATATGCCTTATGAAAATAAGTGGCTTATTTTTCAATGTGAAAAAACCCCAGGACTTTTTGGCTTAGAATTAGGAAATTATCAGGATTCTTGGTTAAAAGTTAACAGAGTAATCAACAATCCAAGAAATTAAACCCATTCTGATCTGCTGTTAGTAACTGAAATTTAGATGTGTGTTTATATGTAACCACAAACACAGGTATGAACAAACGGAATAACTGACAACTAAGCAGAACTCATACTGTGTTAGCAACATAAGGGTACATGAGGACTACTCCAGTTGTCTGAAGCTTTTTCTGCTGACTGAAGAGTTAGGAAAAAAAACTGGGGCTAATTGAAAATTTTTAAATGAAGTATTATAAGAATCTGAAGTTCTAAACAATTGTATCTTTTAGATCAAGGTCAGCAAACTATGGCCTAGGCCCAACATGGCCAGTTGCCCGTTTCTGTAACACTGCTTGTTCTTTTTGCCTACTGGCTGCTGTCCCACTACAATAGCAGAATTTTTTCAACAGCAGCCACATCTCCTGTGAAGACAAATATTTAGTATCTGGACCTTTACATAAAATGTTTGCTAACCCCCATTCCAGATAGTTGCTAGGGACAAACAGCCTCAAAGAGAGAGCTTCAGGAAAACGAAGTCCAATGGTTATCTAGAAATGGAATATGCTGAGTGGAGAAAATGTACAAGTGTCCATTCAGAATATAACTCACAAGATAAAATCAGTAGATGGTTCTTTTCAAAACAAATATTTAATATTTTAACTTTGTCAGGAAAGAAATTTAAATAATAGGTACTTATTTTTGTTGTAGACTTGATCATTTCACAAAGGTGACAAAAAAAACAGTTCTGTGAAATTCAATGAAAAGCACTGGAAATCTTCAGCTCTCCACTTTAATGGCCGAAGACACCACACAGACCTGTGCGATGTCATCATATTCATAAGTTCTCTTTAAGAACGTGTCTGTTAATCTTAAGCCGGAGATACTCTATTGAGAGAAAGATACAGGCATGAATTTTCATACATTGGTAATTACCAGAGAAATTTGGAAAGAGTCAATGCCCATGGGTTAACATTCCCAGACACCAAAATGAGTGAAAAGAGAGCGCACCTGCAGTCCCTGTACTGAAGACAGCAGAGTAAGGGCAAGGCAGAGAGAAGAACTGGGATGCAGCTTTCCAAGCTGTCTTCCTGAAATGCCACACCAGTGGATAGAATTGGTATTGCACATTTCCAAAACCAGATCCATAGTCCTTTCACTGCTGGAGGAATCAGAAAGACAGGAATAAATCTTGTTCCTTTCACAAAGCGGTACTTGGTATTTCTTCCACTTAGTGCCAATGAATTTGTTTTTGGGGTATCCAGGAGAATAAAAAGCAGAATCAGAAATAAAAAGCTACAATGTAATTTTTATTCCACTTAAGACAGAATCAGGAAAATAGAGAGATGGCATCTTCTAGGGTTTAAAGTGGCACTGAGATTGAGCTGCTTGTCTGGGTATAAGCCTTCTGGATCTATTACTGAATCCTGGCCCCCTGGTGCTGATCTGTTAACAGCTCTGCCATTTCTCTGGGAGACTTCCAGACATCTGTGTCTACTCTTGTTGCTATATTTTCTATTTCTGTTAGGTACTCTACAGGAAAGAAGAAGATAAACTGAGTCTTTTTGCTATTTAACTTATGTTTCTTTAATGCAGATAACACAGAAAATGACAAGATTTCTAAGTAAATATTATTCAGGTTTGTTCACTGGTCACATGAAAAAACTCTTCTGCTTATAAATGATATCACCAGTTTAGCTTAAACATGTTTAAAAAAAAAAAACTGTCAATGCCAGTATACACACACATTGGTTTTTTGTTTGTCTTTTTTTTTTAAAAAAAGATTTTATTTATTTATTTGAAACAGAGAGAGAGAGATCACAGGTAGGGAGAAAGGCAGGCAGAGAGAGGGGAAAGCAGGCTTCCTGCCGACAGAAAGCCCAATGTGGGGCGTGATCCCAGGACCCTGAGATCATGACCCAAGCCGAAGGCAGAGGCTTAACCCACTGAGCCACCCAGGTGTCCCCTTTTGTTTGTTTTTTTAAGTAACCAAAAGGCTCAAAGTAAAATACAGGCCTCTGCTCTACCACCATTTCTGGCTACTTTCAACTGTTTTAGCTCTTTTTTCCTTCTAGTTGGCTCCTTATTTTGGCCATTAATTGATTTGCTACACCTCAAACTTTAAGTAAACAAAAAATCCAAAAGCACATCTATACACACAGGGTCTTCACCCTATGCATGTTGCTGTTTAGTGAACTTCCATGATGTGGCAGGCGGTGCATTCCCAATGCTAGGTAAGACATGATCCCTTCTGTTGAATAATGAATAATCTAGTAAGGGAGAGACTAAAAATTATAATATATGAATGTCACTAAAAAAAAACGATAAAAAATTTGCTAGGACAGAGGAAGGAATGATTAACTGTGCATGGGAGGGTCACTAGCTTCAGAGGGAGAAAGGTATTTTTCTAATTCTGAAGGATAAATATTTCCTATGGAGTGCATATGGAATTTTAAAAGAGTATACATTCAAATTATGTGGGATAGGATTCATCCCTGCAATAATTTCAAAATGCCCCAACAGGTAATATAAGCTTTACCACAAGTGATAGGACTGGAATTTAATCCTTGGCTTTTCTGGCTTCAAAGCCCTGTGCTCTTTGCATCCCAACAGCTAGATTATATTCTATTACAAGGCCCCACTTTCCAAACTACAACTGATCCCTTATATTAAATTCATAACCAGTTTTTACCTTCTAAATGCTAAAGATACAGTTCAACCATAAGTGTAATTCAGAAAAATCTATCTTCTTACATTAAATCTATACTGTATTATTCCATAAAAATGTTACTTGTTCATGCTTTAGTAATTTTTTTTTAGATTTTATTTTTATTTACTTATTTGACAGGGATCACAAGTAGGCAGAGAGGCAGGCAGATAGAGAGGAGGAAGCAGGCTCCCTGCTGAGCAGAGAGCCCGATGTGGGGTTCGATCCCAGGACCCTGGGATCATGACCTGAGCTGAAGGCAGAGGCCTTAACGCACTGAGCCACCCAGGCGCCTGCATGCTTTAGTAATCTGAAGTGTGAGGAAATGTAAACAATGAAAAGAGCATGGACTCTAAAGTCAAACAGACCTGGTTTCAAAGTCTGGCCCCATCTTCTCTAGCTCTCTCAGCTTGAGTATGTCACTTTACCTCTGTGTTGGTTTTCTCTTGCATAAATTGTGAATAGTAGTACCTACCTCATAGGGGACAATGCATGAATGAAATAAAATACAGAAAATGCCAAATAAAGTCAGACCTCAAAAAATGTAATGTATAGAGCTACCAGATGAAGAACTTTATAGTATTCAACACCACCATCAGAGGTGGTTTCCACCAGCATACTCAAAAGACTTTAATTCTTTGACGTAGGTGAAGAGGAAAGGCACCCATCCAAACACTGCCATTACCTGCAGTTTGTTATTTTACAGGTAATATGAAAAGGTTCTTCTAGGTTTACGGTATCTGGGATTGCCTCCAAAGACAACCTAACATCTCCATAACCTGGAGCCTAAGAGAAAAAGCAACAGAGTTAACATACATCTATCACAAAACCCTTCCACTTTAATAAAGGTACCACACTAGCACATTTACTCAACAGTTGTTCCATCTCCAAGCTGATGTTTAGAGAAAATACTTCCCAATCATTCTACTGTTCCCCATTCCAACTTCTTTTGCTACTACTGCCTGTAGAACAACACTCTGGACCCTGACTGGGTTTGCTGTGATTACTCCATGTTCAGTAGAGATCAAATGAATCTAGGTAATCTAGGTAAATAGTAAAGAAATTTCAATAGGTCTGAACTTAAATGGAGGCTTTCCAAAGATCCTATAGCTTATACATATATAACTCTAAAAAGTAAAGGTTGTTGCCTAGACAGATAGGGTAAGATTGCTTTGAAAAGATCCCGGAAAACAAACAACGTCCGTCCACAAGATACTCAAGCAGGAAGAGACAATAGCAACATCAAAGCTTGGAACATCCATAGCAAGATGGTAGCTAACAGCTGTATTTTTAAAATTGGCTCGGTGATAATTTCTGCCCCCCCCCCAACTTATTACTTGAAATAATAAGAATGATTTTTAAAGACTATATCCCAATAGGTAATAGCATAAAGGGAACATTCTGTAGCATACTCTCATTAGCACAAGAGAAAGGACTATAACCATCCCTATTTTAAGAGCAGAAATTAGGTAAAATATTCAAGTAATGCTTATAACTTCAAATAGGACTCACTTTCTGAATTTCAGACAACTCAGATTCTCAAAGTCTTTAAACAAGTATGAACTGAGTTGGTGAAATGTAGTAAGTCCAAGAGTTTCAAGACATTGCAAAAAAACCTTCAACGTAGTAGAAATCAGATGAACAATGAACATGAGCCACCACAGGAGGGAAAAATGGGTGAGCAGTAACTTAATTTCTATTTGGTAGAATAATAAACCATGTATTATGGATAAATTAACATTTGAATATTTTTCATTCATCTCAATATCAAGTTTCTGCCTAAAGAGCAGTAAAATTATTGGTCTTTTATCTCTTATTTACTGGTAATATTAATGCCTTTTAGAGCATTGATTTTTAGTGATGCACCTAGGAAAATATAAGCTGTTGTAACTATCTACCCCCACCAAGCACCAAAACCCCCTCCAACATTTTTTTCTAGACTCACCATTCGCTGAAGTTGGCTGGTCTGTAACCTTCCCCTTTCACCTAGATTTGTTTTCCACACTATATCCAATTTTCCAATTACTGTTACTCCTTTAATGATGCCTGCTTTTTCTGCAAACTCCTTCTTAGGTTTTAGGCAGTACAAATACTGGCGTGTATCCATTGGCTGCAAATATGCTCTGGATCCAAACGTAGTTACACTGAGAGAAGTGGAGAGAGAGATGGAGAAAATTCTCTAGGGTCTTTTAAAAGAAAAACCATGGCTGTGATTGTTCCTTTGGATAGGAAATGATTGATTTACCATCCAAATATCTTAAATAGAACAGTTCAATGGTTTCAATACAAATGAAAGTGGACCTGAACTTAGAGGATTTATTCTTCTTTAAATTTTTCAGATGATATGGAAAATCTTTAAGTTCTTTATAACAGAATCCAATATATTACCTAAAATACTAGATATGTATCAATTACCTGAAAAAAATGCAACAAATCAAAACCTAATGTATTCTGTCCCGTTTCTCTATAATTAAAAAAAAAATAGTTTAGACAAATGTACCATTGTAAACAAAGTGATCATTTTTTTTTAAATAAAGATTTTATTTATTTGTCAGAGAGACATGGAGAGAGAGCAAGCACAGGCAGACAGAATGGCAGGCAGAGGCAGAGGGAGAAGCAGGCTCCCCGCCGAGCAAGAAGCCGGATATGGGACTCGATCCAAGGACGCTGGGATCATGACCTGAGCCGAAGGCAGCTGCTTAACCAACTGAGCCACCCAGGCGTCCCAAAGTGATCTTTTTTTTTTTTTTTTTTAAGATTTTATTTATTTATTTGACAGAGATCACAAGTAGGCAGAAAGGCAGGCAGAGAGAGAGGAGGAAGCAGGCTCCCAGCTGAGCAGAGAGCCCGATGCGGGGCTCGATCCCAGGATTCTGGGATCATGACCCGAGCCGAAGGCAGAGGCTCAACCCACTGAGCCACCCAGGCGCCCCTGTTTCTTTCATTCTTGATGAATGAAATCAGGTACTTTCTCTAGCTATTACTTTCTTATCTGTATTAAAGTCAACTTTATATTTATTCCTCCTCTTTTTAAATCACCTATAGAAAGATCTATGTATTCATTTTTGCAAAAAACTAGATCTATTCCTATGCCCACTCCTTTTAATGTTGACAGAATATTTTTTTTTTCAAGATTTTATTATTTATTTGACAGAGAGAGCGAGTGAGAGAGGGAACACAAGCAGGGGTAGGGGAGAGGGAGGAGCATGCTTCCCGCTGACCAGGGACCCCAATGCAGGGGTCGATCCCAGGACCCTGGGATCATGGCCTGAGCCAAAGGCAGACACTTAACCGACTGAGCCACCCAGGAACCCCTTGACAGAATATTCTTAAAACTCACCCTTCATCTTTAACCTTACTAATGTTTCCATCATTCCTTCCTGTGCTTCAGTTTTATCATTTGCAGGAAATGATGAACAGTTTTAGATTTATCTCACTGAGTTATTATAAAAATTAAAAGACTGAGTGCTTCCAAGAGTAAAATATAAAATGCAAATGTCTAGGATCTTTTTATGTGGAGGGAGGAATGAAAAGGTAAAGCACAGGAGATTTTTAGAGCATTGGGACTATTTTGTATAATATAGTAACGGTGAGTACATGTCTTTGCATTTGTTAAAACCCACAAAATGTAGGACATGAAGAGTGAACCCCAAATTTAAACTATGGACTGTAATGAATAAAAGTATCAATATTGGTTCATCAACTGGAACAAATATGCCATATTAAAAGAAGGTATAAATTATACAGGAACTATGAGTAGAGAGAGGGGCATGTGGGAACTCCGTTTCTGATCAATTTTTCTGTGAACATAAAACTTCCCTAAGAGGGCACCTGGGTGGCTCAGTCAGCTAAACGTCTGCCTTTGGCTCAGGTCATGGTCCCAGTGTCCTGGGATCCAGTGGCACTTGGAAGGGGAGGTTTCACTGCTCAGTGGGCAGTCTGCTTTCCCCTCTACCTCTCCCCCTGCTCGTGATGTCTGTCTCACTCCTTCTCTCAAATAAAATCTTAAAAAAAAAAAAGTCCCTAAGAAAAATAAGGTCTATTAATTAAAATACAAATTACAAACCATCTAAGAATAACAAGTGTTAGAAAAGTTCATATACTTAAAAACAAAAACTTTATAATTCATATTTACCATTCTCCAGCTTGGCTGACTGAGTTTAATTCTGCTACATTGTACATTATAGATGGTTCCAATGAAACTTTCTCCATAAACATGGGTGAGGTTGTAATATTCTGAATCTGGGCTTCCAGAAATACTTCATCAGTCTGAGGATATGAAAAAAATATCCACCAAAGTGTAATGGTATTTAAAATATTTACCTCAACAAAAATATCTGATCTATACGAAGAAAAAATATTAACCACAACTGTGATTAGTTCATGCCTGCAAATCAAAGTTATCATAATTAATGCAAGAAAAGAAATCTTCACCCTAACATAATTAACAGGGGGAAAGTCAAGGGTTAGTTAACTGATAACGTGTCAAACAATGGATAGGGGATAACTACATTTTTTGTATCAACATCCAAAAATAGTTATTTACTGGAATTTCATTCACAGGTATCCTAATTCTTCTAGTAAGTCATTAAAATATTAAAATGTCATTTAGTAAGATGAATATACCTATGTACCTATCATTTCAGTGATATGTTAATATAATTAGGTCTTCATTATAATATTCTATCATAATATAGTTTCAATGGTCATATTATTTCAATTTAGAAAGTACAGGGACCACCAGTACAGTGAATAATCAGTCTATTTTATAATCTTATAGGATTTAACTTTTTAATTAAAGCAATTTGTTAGTGGCCATTAGTGATTTCTTGGTTCATTTAAAATGTACATTTAGGGCAAAAAATGAATTATACTTGACAGTCACAGAGCTTTTAAATCAAGCACAAGGTATTCTGTAGCCTTAGAGACTAATGCTATTCAGCAATATTTTAATGAATGGGTGATTTAAATATGTACTTTTGTATAAAATTTTTATTTCCTAAAATTTAGGAATTAAAATTGAGATTTATATTAAACATCCTTCTTTACATGTGATTTGGCTTTTTTGGTGTATAACTGAAGGGTAACACAGAACTTGGTTCATTTTCTAAATAAATCTATATAAAATGTGACACAGGATACGCTGTAATTATTTTGTTCAAAAATTTCAGAGTAATATTCATAAAAATAAATTTAAAAAACAAGCTATGACCCAAAAAATTTGGCACTGAATAAACATTTTAAATATTAAATCCAGGAAAATGGAAATCATTTCCAAAAATATAATGATGAAGTTATAATGTAATGTATTATTATCTAAACTAAAACAGATTCTTTAGTTCTTGGCACATGCACTCAAATGAAAATTGAAATATAATGATTTATCAATCTAAAAGAATGTGCCACTTAAAGGCATTATCCTATTACTTTTTCTCAAAAAACAAAAAAAGGTAAATATATCCCATCAATCCATTGCTTTAAAAAAAATTACCACAGGCCCACATTTCAAATTTTAAAATGCATTTTTCTGCTTAAATTTAGAAAGAGCTTAGATAAAATGGAAGAAAAACAAGCAGCATAATGGAAAATTAAGTTAGTTTGAAGTTAGTACAAAGTAATTTGACACTTGAAAAATAAAGAATTCTGTGCTACAGCAGTCGATGTTGTTATCATGTAAGTCATATATTATAAGCAAGTGCTGTTTATATTAAATAGAAATTTGAAAATATGACTTTAGCCAACTTGGGAACATTTGAGGTTCTTCTGTTTACTAATGTCAAAGGGCCAACTTTACCTGACCCAGACATAAAACTAAAACCACTGTGCATCTGAAGATAAATTTTAACTAGAGAGTTTACCTCAAAGAATTAAAAGTAAAGAATCTTATTTAAGACGATGTTGAAAAATCTCAAGGCTATTTTTAACAAGGTTAACATGCCTCTTTTAAGAAACACCCAAAGGAAAAACACCAAGAATCAGAGCATACTTGTTTCAGTATGATAATTTAATCTTCAATTTAATTTTTTCCCAGAGAAAGATAATTAATATAAAAAGTATAAATTAGATACATCTTTTAAAATCACATATGTGGTATTTCACAACTAACTTTGTTTTTCCACTATGTTTCATAAAGAAAGATTAATTAGGCAGAGTCAAAAAGTGGTAAGTAAGAAAAGCATATAATTTATAATAAAAAATCAAATTACCACAGAACTGAGGTCACTCTAATGGAAAAATAAAAAAGAAAAATTAGAAAAATCAGAATTAAATGTTAAAGAAAGAGAATAACTAACTTTAAAATAAAATGCATTTCTGCATTTTTTAAAATTTTCTAAACAAGACAGCATTAGTAAAACAAAGAAGTAAACAGAAAGTAACAAAGGAATATGACATTTTTCTAAAAAGGTGAAACTGATATGGTTAAATGAATGAAGAACACTACAGGTGAATATTTAAACAGGAGCAAATATTCAAGGACAAATTTGGGTGAGAAAGGTATAACCCATGTTTTTCTAGTTCTATATATTCTTTACCTACACCGTAATTCTTCACGGATTACTTAAAATGGCTATATGTTCTCTTCCACAATCAGAATAGATATACAGTGTATTGTATACCTTCTCCTAAATTTATCTAATAATGGAACCATTTTTTTCAAGAAGCATCTTCAGTGACTAGAGTTCCATGCATTATACTTCAGGAAATGCTGAGCTAGACCACATCAGACAACTGAGAGTTTATCCTTTTCTTGTTAATATATTTTATAGTTTGGGCGCCTGAGTGGCTCAGTGGTTAAAGCCTCTGCCTTCGGCTCAGGTCGTGATCCCAGGGTCCTGGAATCGAGCCCCACATCGGGCTCTCTGCTCAGTGCAGAGCCTGCTTCTCTCTCTCTCTCTCTGCCTGCTTCTCTGCCTACTTGTGTTCTCTGTCTGTCAAATAAATAAATAAAATCTTTAAAAAAAAAATATATATATATATTTTATAGTTTGTCTTTTTTTCATATATACTTCTAATGCTACTTATTTATCAAGGGTCATCTCAAATGTTGCTTCTTTTGTCCAATCCATTGCTAAAAATACTTTTTCATCTCCGATGTTCCCAGAATCTAAGTACACTTCATGATCTACGGGTGGTACTTACATTGAATTTTTGTCATGTTTGTCTCCTCCACTAGATCTAAGTAACCCTGAGGATTGGGAAGATGCCCAATTTATATTTAATTTCTCTCTACTACCTGGCATGGAGCCCTATTCCCAGCAGGTGACCCAATGTTTGAACCTAGTTGCTAATGTCACCAATCTTCTTTCCTATTTTAGAAGACGGCAACAAAATTTCTCGTAACAAACTTGTTTTCCTTTCAGTGATTCACATAGTGCTAGAATTATTAGAAACAGAGTAAAAAATCATGTTTGAGACAATTGTGGGGCTAATAAAAGTCAATGTGTAAGAACTATGGCACAAAGTAATAAACATCACCTACCAATATGCGTGTGGTTTATGAACTCCTATAATCTACCTGAATTTTCTAGTTGGGGTCAATAAAATCTGCTTGGTCCTATAGGCTGTATAGTGTTTGTTTTCCTAATAGGTAATACTGAATATCTTAGAGACCCTAAAAATACTATTTGTTTACTCCTGGTTTTTAAAGAAATATCTATTTTCAAAGGTTCAGAATTTTACAAATTTTCTTAGTTGACATTTGTTGGCAAAGATTACAAATTTTGTTTATATATAATGTTAACTGAAGAAAGCAACATTCTGTTACTATAATTATAAAAACAGTATTAAACATAAGTTAGTAAAATCTGAAAGAACATGGATTAATGAAAAGCCCATTATTTTTTGGTGTGGTGGAATTTTGGGATTTTTTTACCCTTCCTTTTTGGGGAGTATATCACGTTTATAATATTATTCAAGAATAACAAGTAATTTTAAAAACTGCAAAAATCACTCGAAATATTCGTGTTATACAACTATTTGACAAGTATCTTAATCTATCACTACATTTGCAGCAAAGAAAACCTAAAATAGTTTAATATGTGCCTTCCTAGGAGCCAATTATAAGAAAAAAGACCACCTACAGCACTGTTTGTTTCTAATGTGCAAACATATATACTCTTGCAAAATAGTTACTTATCTTCCCTCATACTATGGATGAACTCCTTCCTAGCAAAACGATAAATTAAGACCACTTAAAATTTAATAAGTGGAATAGCTATACTATAATTAATCAAAAGTATTCCAGTAAAACAAAAAAGGCAGCATACACATGTAGTATGACAACTCCCCTAAGCCCTGAAAAGAAATGTTAACTCTAAACTAGTAGGGGGAGCTAGTAATCCCCTTGATGAGACTGTATCTTCCCATGAAATATGCATATTCTTTACTTAAGTACTCCATATTCCAGGTGCATTTGTAATTCTGCTTGGAAATCCTTCACTGCTTTGACACTTTTATGTTTCCAACATCTATTATTTCCAGACTCCACTCCAGTTACCCTTCTCATCTTCTCTGAAAACTACTGTAAAATCTCAGCCCTAGACTTCATGCAGTACTTCAGATTCACGACATATACTATACTAGGTAGTTTTATTATTTTATGTACTTTTTTCTTTTGTCCTAGTAGGACTCTACTGCAGGTCAGATTCCTCTCTTGGTATGCCCATCTGTAGTACAAACTAAACTGAATAAAAACTCAGATGCTGATGGTAAAAATACATACAAATTTGACATGGGACTATAAATTTCTGATCATTAAACTTAGAGTAATAAAGACATAATTTTCATTTCAAAATACTGTATTTTAATATTTTTGAATTTATCACTATGGTAGGAAAGACATGACTTTTGCAGGAATAAGGGGCCCATTAGGAAATCGTTTTTTTCTGGAACTCTAGAAGCCAAGATAAAGTAGAATTTTTACTTTACTTTTACTGTTTTTTTTTAAAGTAGAATTTTAAGAAAAATCCAAATAATAAAACCTTCTTCCTACGGCAAAATCTATTTTATCTCTTTTGTTCAAATAGAAGATAGATTATCTTCTACTCTCTAAGTTACCGTATTTTTATTTTTGCCAATCTTGTTTATTCCAAAAAGTACTTCTAACCATTCACTGAACTTAATAAACAAACTGCAACTGACACACTGATTTCCCGGGACAAAGAATTTAATTTACTGAGTTCTATTTGTCAATATTTCCCAAGAATATTAAATCATTTTTGCAGGGTTAGATTGACTACTTCAGAATCACACTGTAAATATTTAACAAATTGCTATGGTTTTTAGATAGTAACAATAATCATTAAATGGAAATTTAGGGCAATGATTTAATGAAAGGGGGTGAAAGCCTCATGAAATTAACAAAAATAAAATTCAAGATACACTGATTCTATGTAATTTTAAAACAGCATACTAAAAGATCTACAGTGAAATTATTCTCTTTTGATTAAACTTGAGGCTCATTTTTCACAAGTAATTCACACTCTTCTCAGCAATTTACTTCAACATGAAATGAAATGTAATACATCAGAATTTTAGTCAAGTAAGATCTTACTTTTAATCTGAATTCCTATTAAGTGCTAAACACTTACCTCTGCATTGTAAAATTTGGTTTTCACATCCAATGGTTTGAGAACCTAGTCGAATAAAGCATATCAATCAGAGGAGATTATAATTTATTTTTGTTTGTTTATTTATTTATTTAACATTTTATTTATTTGACAGAATACAAGTAGGCAGAGAGGCAGGCACAGAGAGAGGAAGGGAAGCAGGCTCCCTACTGAGCAGAGAGCCTGATGCGGGGCTCGATCCCAGGACCCTGGGATCACCACCTGAGCTGAAGGCAGAGGCTTTAACCCACTGAGCCACCCAGGCGCCCCTGTTTATTTATTTTAAATCACAGGGCTTATATCTGTCAAAGGCATTTTCTAATTTTAATTGTAAAAAGCTTTATTAATAGGTATGCAATATTTTTGCAAAAACAACAAAAAAACCCAAAAAACAATCCCAAATGTATTTTTAAAAGACAACCATCATTTCTTAATTGGGTAATAGTCACATGAGTTACATGTGTGTTTACTCCATAGTATTTTTGTTAAACTGAATATATGTATTTTATGTATTTTTCTCTATATATTTCACAAAAATGTTTACTAAAATAAGTGCATAAATCTTTTATTTTCTTTTAAAAGTCATGCAAAATCTTAAATGAGTGATACAGCAAAATTTTTTCTTTTAGAAAGTTTTTTTTTTTTTTTTGAAAGTTTTTTTCAAGTAATCTCTACACCCACCATGGGGCTTGAACTCAAGACCCCAAGATCAAGAGTCACACGCTCCACATAATGAGGCAGGCAGGTGCCCCAAAATAAATCTGGGTACATTTAATAATTTAATTAATTAATTCCTACTGTTAGTACTTTTTCTTCCACTTAAAAACAGATAGGTATGAAAAATATATATTGCATAATATCTAGATCTAATTTAAAGGGTTATATGTGGTCATTTCATCCCTAAAACCACTAAAACCAGTGGTTTTAACTATTTTTAATCACAGAGTGAAAACTCTGTATAAATACAAAACTCTACATATAAGTTTGGTGACTCATGGAATCCTCGAAGGAAGCTTGGTCCACTCAGCCCAAGTCAATTATCTCTCTTTAAATATTTCTTTAGAAATTTGATAAGATTTATACTTAATTTATCTGGACTTTCTACTCCTTTTATCCCTCTTGTATATTCTTGTGAGTTTTGTCAAGGTATAAAAACAGGACAATCTTTTTTGGATAAAAATCTGTAACTGAGGGGTGCCTGGCTGGCTCAGTCAGAATAGTGTACAACTCTTGATCTCGGGGTGGTGAGTTTGAGCCCCTCGTTGGATACAGAGATTACTAAAAAAATAAAAAAATAAACTTAAAAAAATCTGCAGGTGAAATATTACACTGACAATGATAATTTCTCTGCTTTTACTTAATTTAGTCTGACTTTAGATTTCTAGTACTATGACAAATGCAGACATATGAAGCTATTTGCTTTATTTGGAGGCTGTTTTCCCTGCAGATAGATAGGAATAACTTCACAGGGGAAAAAAAATCTGTAAACTATTTACGCAGTCACATTTAATACCTGAAATTTGAAGAATTTTCTAAAATACATTTTTTCTCCGCACTGAGTTGTATAGCTCACTGCACACACCAAGCTGAAATGGAAAGATATCTCTGAATTATCTTTGATTTTGTTTAATAATAAATCTAATACACCTCAATTTTACTCACAAATTTGGAAAATATTGTAACCAATGTTGTAAAAGCGTAGCCAAATGAGCCTAGAGTAGGGAAAAAAGAATTTTAGCAGATAAAAATATAATTCAATGAACAAGAAAGCTCTGATTAGCAAAATTAAATATACAATAGTGAAATATATTCCAAAACAAATCCGAAAAATCAAATAGTTAAATGTACAAATTAAGTTTATATAATTTAGAAGAAAAAAAATAAATTCAAAAAAATTCTAGGATGGGGAAAGACTTTTTAATATAAATGGGCAATGGAAAGGAAAAGAGTCATAAATGTATAAACTGAAAAATCAAAATCCTGTTAAAACAAAAAGCAGACAAAATGGGATAAAATACTTCTAATGAAATGAAGAGAAATCTCATAAGCAAAACATTAGTATCTTGCTCAAAATAGGAGGAAAGGATACATAGATAGATGACAGTACCATAAATGGCTAACAAAAAGGTGAAAACATTCAGCCTCACAAGAGGTCAAAGTAATAAAATAATGAGACATATTTTTTCCACTTCTTAAGATTAAAAAAAAATTCTTTTATAGGTGTTACCAGGATTGGTGAGGGGTTAGAGAAAGTGACTCTCTACACTGCTAGTGGTTAAAAGAGATTTAGAAAACAAGTCTTAAGTAAGAGTCTTAAAAATGCTTATATGCTCCTATGGTAAACCCACTACAAGCAGTCTATCACAGGAAATACTAGGATGCTCAGCACTGTATTATTTATAACAGCAGAAGACTAGAAACAATCTAATGTCCAACATTAGTAAACAAATTAAAGTATATGGTCCAAGTAGGTAAGATAAAACTATCTCATAAAGAATGTTTTCACAGAATACTGACTCAAGTGGGAAAATGTTCACAGTGCACTGAAAAAGATAAAACCATGGGTAATATGATCAAAATTTTGAAAAGTGTTATTTATTTATACAAATATGTTACATAAACACACATAAAAAACTAGAAAATCATATACTAATATTTTAATAGCAGTTATACTCAGTGGTGACAATACAGGAAATTTAATTTCTCCTTTTAAGTTAAGTGTACATAAGCCAGGTACTAGGGATGTAGTATTGTTCAAAACACAGTAACTGTTCTCAAGTGCTCACAGTAAAAAGCAGTATAGCAGGGTATGGGTTTTTTGAAGCCAGATTTAGATTTGAGTTCCACTTCTTATTTACTATTTAATTCTACAAGAGACTCATCTTCTCTAAAAGGAGGTTTTTACACATTTAATAAACTTCAATAAACTTAAATTCTTAATAAAATTTAATAATTGTAATAAATATAAAATTTAAATAAAAATAAAATAACAATTTAATGAATTTCAATAAACTCTATTTCAACAAGTACTGACCACTATTCTCTGCTAGATCATGAGGACACAGCTGACTTCATGCAACTCATACTCTAATGGAAATGACAGGCGTAAGTAATTAATTTTAAGTAGAAGACCAAAAAAATGACAAGTTATGGATGCTATAGAATATATTAAAAGGGGTATTTAATTTAGTCTTGGAGGTCAGGAAAGCCTCTTCGAGAAGTCATGGTGAATCTGATATATGAAGAAGTGGAAGTAAGCTAAACAAATGAACAGAGTCATTCCTTAGGAAGGGAAAAATTTATCTCAAGTCTTGGAGGAGTGCAAAGGAAAGAGACTTCCAATGTCACTTAGTATAAAACAGGGAGGAATGAGAAAAGGTAAGAACTAAAGCAGCTCATACAGATTAGCTTCTAGAGAACTTTGTAAAGCCAATACAAAGAATTTTCTATGGATAGTGGTAGGTCACTGAAGAGTCAAGTGACTTATCCAGGAACATGTAATTAATAAATGATGGAGCTGAAATTTGAACTCTTTAAATTTTGACTGCAAAGCTCATACTAACCACAGAATATATACTAAGAAGTGCCTACAAAAGAGATGTCACCACAATGAACTGATTAACAGCTAATATTATATACTACTTTAACCCAAGGAAGAGAGGCAAAAATGGTGACATAAGTGGAGATGAAGGTGGGATGACATACAGTTAGTAAGAATTAACAGGACTTTGTAAATTTATTGTATGTGTAAACGGTAAGGCAGATGGAAGTTTAAAATTATTTAGATGGCTGAAATTTTCATATCTGCCTCTCAAAGAAAAATAGAGGATTCACATTCATATGCCAGGAATACAGAATTTGATATATTTTTTTTCTCATAGCTTATCTTACTTTGGTTCTATATTTCTGAATTCTCAGGGTAGAATATATATACATAGTTAAACAAGAACTGAAAAGTTGTACAAAACTGAGAAGTTGTAATTTAAAAATAAACACTATTAATGTCAGTTTCTAGCATTTCAAAAAATAATTAACATACTTTTGGTCAGAGTGGTACCTGGGTTTTAAAAATCTGCATAGCTTTTTATTTTTTGGATAAGATTGTCTGTAGATGCAAACACGAAAACAGAAATACAGGAAAATAAATTAAGATATTTTCCCCTAAAAAACAAACATTTTGTTTAAAGTGTGATAAGCATGTAATCCTGCAACATTAAATTCCTTCTTAAGTACGTTCATAGGTTTGATACTAAATGGACATAAAACGAAAATTTCAAATAAAGGCATACATAAGGAAAAGCCTTTGAGAACTAGTAAAATTAATCCTTACATGTGTGTTCCAATTTCTTTCACTTCATGGTGTATGACATCATCAATACAACAATCAGGTTTAAGTTCAGCCACTGCAGCATTGGAAGCTGAAAGATTTAAACGCTGAGAACTTGTCTGAAGATCAGCCTTGAAAAAAAGAGATTAAAAAAAAAAATCCAAATGAGACTGGTTACCTGCAGGGTGAACTTATCACAAATTAATACAAACTTAAACCTTTAACTGGCATACTGTCTCACCCAAGTGATCACAACCTTTAAGGATAAGGAAAAATGATTCTGTGCTTGTTACCATATTATCTTACACAATTACGTGTTCAATTAATGCCTGTTGTTAATGACAATTAAAAAGTCCAGTATCAAAGTGCATCTTAATGAAATTTCAAAAATGTAAGAATACAAATTAAAAAGTTAAAAAAATATATATACATATATACCAAGCAAGAATGCCACTTACTTTTACTAATATATCTTTTACAACTTGATTGCTATCATTATGAACGCTGATGTAACTGGAAAAGGTCTCTCCCAAAAATATATTCCTGTGAAATAAAATAAACTTTTAGGCAGAAATCTACTCATATTTTAACACACAATCTATATAAGCACCACTGAGAACTTAAAATGGAGAAGAATTTATTAAAGGATAATGATCAAGTGAAATACTGCTTCAGCATTTCTTTGTGTACCCTATGCTACTCATTCATTACCCAGTACAGTTAAAAATACTGATGTAGTCTATAAAACATGACAAAATCTTGGCCCTCAACTACTGTATAAATAGCCTGTTTCCCTAGACATAAGCCACTGAAATTAGATCCATATTAAAAGCCTTAATGATTATTTACTGACGAGGCTAGAAAAGGCAATTTTTGAAATAACTTATGCCCTAAATCTAGAAGAGACCCCCAGTTGATCTGAGTATTTTTTTACCAATTTGTCTTATTTTTCTAAGTTACTCTAACACAAATAATGACTACTTTATATTTTTTGTAAGGTAAGTTTTATAAAAATACCTGTTTATAAATACATATTACATAAAAACCTATAAATATATTTCACATAAATTTTTAAATAAGAACATATTTCCAAGCTTTCAAGACACCAGTCAGTAACTACATTCTGTAAACATTTTTAAACTTAAAAATTCCATGTGGTCTTAAATTCTCTCAGTTGAAAACAGAAAAACCAAGGGCTTCTTCCTCATTAATAACCCAGAAGAGAAGAAGAGCTAAGAGTAAGAGAAGGAATAAAAATTGACAGTTCCTAATGAGCTGACAAGTCTGATAGCTTGTGTTAGGAGAGGACTATGAAACTGAACAAGAAAGCAGCTTTCTGAAAGACATTTAGATTAAGCCAGTTAAAAGAAAAGGAATATATGGCTATTAAAAAATGCAGTAAGATCTAAGGAAGAAAGTTAAAATTTAATCGTCCCTAGAAACCACTATTCATACTTTGGTATGTATCTTTTTTTTTTTTTTTTGCAGGGGGTTGGTGTTGGTGGTTTGGAGGAGATGGCAGAGGAAGAGGGAGAGAGAGAATCCCAAGCAGGCTCCACACCTAGGGTGAGCCCAATGCAGGGCTTGATCTCACCACCCTGAGATCACGACCTGAGCAGAGCCACCCAGGAGCCCCTTTTCTTTTTCTGTATCTTTTTTTTTTAATTAAAAAACTCCCCCAGAATCACTAAGTATAATTCTGGTAAAACCTTTTTTTTTTTTTTTTTTTTTTTTTTTGGTGTTCTTTAACCTTTTTTTTTTAAACCACTTAAATGTATGAGTATTTTTCCATTCATTAGTTATTTTATGAAAATATAATTTGTAATGGCTTTAAGTATGGCTTATGTCAACATATTCTTACCCGAAATTCTGTGGCAAAGTCAACATTTCACCCAACATTAAAATTTCTGCACCATTTACAGTTGAAGGATCATCTCTCATGAGTTGGTTAAAAAGATCTCCTATAGAAAGAGAAAAACGTAAATTCTAAAATCTATCTTGTAAATAAGTTTTACTGCCACAAAGAAATAGCTGGGAGAAACACTTTTAAAAAAATGCTTTAACAAAAATCTAATTTATTATCTTCACTACAACAAATTTATGGCAAAAAATTTGAGTTTCATAGAGAATGAATGCTTCAGAAACAAAGGAAAATGAAGGCCATGAGACACAAAATATAAAGAGCTCCAATAATTTTAAAGGGAATGGCTAATACACAAGTTGATGGACCATGTGAAGATAAATAAAATTCTGATATCATGACTATGAATGTATCCTTACTAAAATTAAGTTTCTTATTGCCATGGGATATCCGTAGTATCTTGACTTAAGAGATTATGTGTAAGACCTACTATGTAGATGGCCACCACTTATATCATACAAAAAGAGACAACAAAGAATGCAGCAAAGAGTTAGTATAAGACTGGAAAGACTATGCTTATTGCAAGGTAACACAGGCAACCCAGGTTTCAACTTTTCCCTAGGTACAAGCAGAATAAAAGCATACCAGGTAAGTCTTTTTCTTCACATGTTACTGGAATATTGGTGAATAAAGTAGGCTTAGTTAACCGCATCACTGTGAATTAAGAAAAAAAAGAAAGAAAGAAAATGTTAATATTGTTTTGGACTAGCATTCCTAAGATGAGTGTATGATACTCATCCATTCTATACTAAAATCGAATATAACCTAAAGCTTCCTAAATATAATATTAAGTACTTTCCCAAACCATACACCAGTGATTTACTAAAAATATTAATTTACAACAGAAAATCTTACATATGACTTAAAGCTTAATGCATTAAAAAAATTAAATGTAAGTGTAGAATACCACATTATAGAAAAACTGGAAAATAAAGGAATTTTAAAGCTTAAGGTATATGAGAATAAGGCTTTAAGAAAAATCCTGAGTGACGTTCTTTGAACAGTATCAAGAAGAGATCTTCCTGAAAGGGAAAAATGTTTTGATTCACCACCATGAATATGAGACAGTAATTTTACAAAAAAAGAATCTTTATGAGCTTTATCTCTCGGTTCTAATCACTGGCCACTGGAAGTTCAGTAAGTGGACCTTTAAGTAATATTCATTCTGTAAGGAAATGACGAAAGTATCATTCAATGTATAGCTATTTATTTATTTATTTTTAAAAAGATTTTATTTATTTATTTATTTGACAGACAGAGATCATAAATAGGCAGAAAGGCAGGCAGTGGGGGGGGGGGGAAGCAGGCTCCCTGCTGAGCAGAGAGCCGGATGCGGAGCTCCATCCCAGGACCCTGGGATCATGACCTGAGCCACCCAGGCGCCCCCAATGTATAACTTTTTAAATTCCAACCAAAACTAAGATTTGTTCTTGGGACATGACAGAATGTGTCTAAAGTTTAGAAAAACAAGTAAAAATAAGCTAAGGAAATTAATGGGGAAAAAATGAGGCAGACATGAATTTACCATATATTAAAAAATTTGTCTATAGTCAACTAATTGGTTTATTAATGCAACACCACACAGATATATTAGACAGTAAAATAAAGATTATTAGGATGCAGGAAAAAAAAGCAACATGATAAAGCACAACTGGTTGGCTATCTGGGAAAAATAAGAAATTTAACTTATAAATTAAATTCAAATACCAAATAAATTGCCTATGTATCAAACAGTTAAGAGGCAAAAATTAAGCCACAGAAAACTAAAAAGTGAAAATTTATGAAATCTAGTAGAGTGAGGATAGGACATTTTAACTAAAAAAATATTTTTCAAGGGGCGCCTGGGTGGCTCAGTGGTTAAAGCCTCTGCCTTCGGCTCAGGTCATGATCTCAGGGTCCTGGGATCGAGTCCTGCATCGGGCTCTCTGCTCAGCAGGGAGCCTGCCTCCTCCTCCTGTTTCTCTCTGCCTGCCTACTTGTGATCTGTCAAATAAATAAAAAAATAAAAAATAATAAAAATAAAAATAAAATAAATAAAAAAAAATCTTAAAAAAAAATCTTTTTCAATTACTTCTAAAGACTGACCTTTGATCACATTAAAATAAAGACAAAAATCTAACCGTAAAAATCATAGAAACTTGTAAAATATTTCAGAAAATTAATCATTTCTTTATACTCTATTAAAAATGTTCATTCAAATCTAACCCAAAAAACTTTAAAGACTATCAACTTAAATGGTCAATTCACAGTTTAAGTGGTATTCATTAGCATATGTAAACATGTACCACCCAACTACTAACTAGCTATATCATTCACACCAAATTCAGTGCCTTTCTCATTGGGTCTCAGGCTAAATGTCATCTTTTCCAAAAAAGAAGTAACAGCTCACCTTGTCTCTCTCATAGCCCCTTGTATTTATCATGAACTGAGAAATGTACTTATTTACAGCATTTTGATCCAAACTTCACAAGATTGAGGCTCTTACCTATTATATTCAGTTTTCTGGCTTTGTTGCTTGACAGTTTCTGGTACATACTATATTCTATAAATCTTTGCTGAATGAAAGAATTAGCACCTCACCTAAATCCTCAAGTACCTGGTATTATTTTGAAGATGTTACATTTCATGAACGGAGGCCATTAAACAATGTTATATATCAAAATAGATGGCTGTTGAGGGTTGCCTAGTTGGCTCTTGGTCTCAGAGTCGTAAGTTCAAGCCCTATGCTGGGCACAGATCTTACTTAAACAAATAAAGTAAAAACAGATAATATAAATAGATGGCTACCGAAACAGGCAACATATGTTAACCTTAAAATTTCTGAAGTCACTTTGCTTAACTGATTATTTACTGAGCATTTACTAGTGCCAGACAGCATGCTAAATACTTCACAAGTATCAACACATTTAAGTCTAATGACTACAAATTTGGTGTCATTAACTACATTTTACACATAAGGGTGATACTTGGAGAAGGTAATTTGCTTATAAGACTATAAAGCAGATAGGTGGCAGAATTAGATCTGAACTCAGATAAATTCACTTTGTTCAAAACTAATTCTCTGTATTATTAATTATAAGCCTAGGGGCATAAACCTGTTACGTTATGCCTTATAGGAAACATCGTATGGGCATTCAAAATAGAACTCTGTCAAGCAGAGTATTAACCAGCTACAGATCATTGATGGGCACCAGAAGTGGTTGAGAAGGTTTTCTTTCTACTTCACTCTTATTTCTAACTAGGAAAGCAGATTAAAATTCAGTACAATCTGAAGGGGATAAAAAAGTGTTCTAAAAATGATGAAGAAGAGACCTTCTTTTCACAATCTAAATATCTAAGACTCTAACTTTTTTCCTTTTTTTGAGAGAGAGATAGCAAGAGACACAGAGATAGCGAGAGAAACAGAGAGAGGGAGAGAGGATGAGCTGAGAGGAGAGGCAGGAGCAGGTTCTCCACTGAGTGGGGAGCCTGACTTGGGGCTCAGGCCCAGGATCCTAGGAACATGACCTGAGCTGAAGACAAATGCTTAACCGAATGAGCGACCCAGGCCCCCCTTAAAGCTCACTTTTTACACCAAGTGGTGTTCTCTATGCCCCATTTTTTGTTTTCATTTCAGAAGAAACGTGATCTTAATAAAAATATGCTCTCAAGGGAATCCTAAAACACAATTTTTTAAAAAGTGACCTTGAAAATACCATGTGATTTCACTCATATGTGGAATTTAAGAAATAAAACAAACCAGCAAAAGGAAAAAATGAGAGGGAGAAGGCAAGAAACGAACCCTTAACTATAGAGAACAAACTAATGGTTATCAGAGTAGTTATCAGAGTGGAGGTGGATGTGGGGGTGGGAGTAATGGGTTCGTTTGACTTAGAGATTATGCACTTGTATTGAGCACCAGGTGTTGTATGAAAGGGCTGAAGCACTGTTTTTGTACACCTGAAACTAATATTAAATGTACGATAACTAAATGGAAATTAAAAAGTTAAAAAAAACCATAAAGTGTTTTTGAGTTCACCCAAATGTGTCGCCATCTTACTTGCTTATTATATGCTCAAACTTCCATTGTGTACAAGTCTTATAAAGTTTAGTTTTACTCATTTTATGATTTCCTAGGAGATGAGAAAATAGAGAGTGGGTGAGGAATAACCCTCCATTAAAAATAAAAACTTCCCAAACTGCTATTAAAAATACCTGTTTCCTTCATTTTTCAAAGAGGGTAAAAAATCTGTGTGTGTGGGGGGGGAAGCAGTTGTTAAGAAATACTATCATTCTGTGGACTCAAAGAAAACTACTATAAAACACAAACTGGGCAAGTCCAGTTAGTAACATAAAAGTATCTCATATTGAAACTCAATGTTTCCTGTCTTACAGCAAATGAATGGACCTCAAATACCACACATAATGTTTGTTAGCTGGAAAAGACCAAATACCAACAATAGCAAGGTTTAAGAAACCTGGGAGAGGAACTAAAATAAAGCATTGGTTTTTTGTTTTTTTTTTTAAAGATTTATTTACTTTATAGAAAGTAAGAGAGTAGGTACACTTGGTGGGGGGTTGGGCAGAAGGGGAGGGTGAGAAGGGACTTCCCAGTGAGCATGGAGTCTGAAGCAGGGCTTGATCTCACAACCCAGAGATCATGACCTGAGCCAGAATCAAGAGTTGGAGGTTAACTGAATGAGCCACCCAGATGCCCTAATAAAGCACTGGTTATTAAATGATAATCTTATATTTAGGCTTGAATGTTAAAAAACAGGTTCTTTGTCAAAAATTAGAGACAAAAAAGAATATGCAATTTTCAGCCAAGTGCCAAATCAAATATTCACTAGGCACAGCAAATAGTGTCATGTGTGGTGCCATTTTCATTGGAATTCACAAAACACAGACATTTACTTATGAAATTCAGGTTTCACCTATTATCTTATTAAAAAAAAAACTTCTATAAGTCTTCAATAATTTATGTAAGAGGCCTGAGGTTACAAACTAATGAACTGGGCCAAGTTCAACTTTTGTATACATTTTGCTTGGAAAGAACATAAAAAAAAAAAAAAACAACAAAAAAAACCACAAAAAACCAACTAAATTAAGGCAGGATCTTCTTCAAGTTCAAAGTCCTGAACTACATTCCACAGTCTTGCCTATCTAGTCCCTGAATTATTTCAAGTTTGTGAACTGTGAATTCTGGATATTTTGAGCACATTTTATCAAAGAGAATCATTATGCAAGAGCTCATTTTGAAATTCTCAAAAAATGGTCTTTAAGCTATTTGATAAATTGGTAAAGGAAGCTAAATTCATATGATACCCTCCACATCTTTTTTTGGTTGAATTTAACATTTATCTTAAGGTAGAGAGTTTGTCAGGGAAAAATAAAATTATGGTACTGCTGCCACTTTCCTACAGAATAAATGCTGTCGGTATTTCATCAGATGCTCTCAGAGATTCACCTTTCTGTACACATTCTTGTGTACCTAACTTACTTCCACAACTATGACTTAATGGTAGAAATGAGAAATACTGCTGAGCCTACTATTAGCTAGTGCTAGAATCATCAGTCCTAAGGTTCTAAGTACATGAAAAAAGCTTCAAAGCAGTAATGGATTCTAAATTCTTATGTCTTGATTACTTAAAAAAAAATTATTTATTTATTTGACAGAAAGAGACACAGTGAGAGAGGTAACACAAGCAGGGGGAGTGGGAGAGGGAGAAGCAAGCCTCCCACCAAGTAGGGAGCCGAGGCGGGGCAATACTGGGACCCTGGGGCCATGACCCAAGCCAAAGGCAGACCCTTAACAACCGAGCCACCCAGACACCCCGGTCCTGATCACTTCAAATGGAAGTGGAGAAGTAGGAAGGAGAAATGGATCTCTCCTTCTTTCAAAGTCATAGCACTATTTGCAGTAAAACTCAATCTTGAGTTTTCCAGGTCTGAATTACCCTTTCACTACTTCTGTAAGAGGTAGAAAGCAAATGACACAAATGAGAAAACTTTAAATCCATCACATATGAAGACAAAGAAACTCTTTTTAATAAGTGTGATTCTTGGCTAAAATTAACTCAGGAAACAACATGTTGGCGAGGATGAGGAGAAAGGGTAATGCTCTTAAACTGTTGGTGGGAATGCAAACTGGTGCAGCCACTCTGGAAAACAGTATGGCAGTTCCTCAAAAAGTTAAAAATAGGGTTACCCTGTGACCCAGCAATAGTACTACTAAGAATTTATTCAAAGGATACATACATAATGATTTGAAGGGGTACCTGTACCCCAATGTTTATAGCAGCAATGTCCACAACAGCCAAACTATGGAAAGAGCCCGGATACGGACAGATGACTGGATACAGAAGATGTGGTATACACATAAAATGGAATATATTACTCAGCTATCAAAAAGAATGAAACCTTGCCATTTACAATGACATGGATGGAACTAGACGGTATAATGCTAAGCAAAATAAGCTAGTCAGAGAAAGACAAATACCATATGATTTCAGTCATAAGTAGAATTTAAGAAACAAAACAGATGAACATTGGGGAAGGAAAGGAAAAATAAAATAAGATGAAAACAGGGAGGCAAACCATAAGAGAGGCTAAACTCTAGGAAAACAAACAGGGTAGCTGGAGGGAAGGTGAATGGAGGAAGGGGTAAATGGGTGATGGGCATTAAGGAAGGCACTTGACATAATGAGCATTTCCTGTTACATGCAACTGATAAATCAGTAAATTCTACCCTGGTAACTAATAATACAGTGTATGTTTTCTAAATTGAATTTAAATAAAGAATTTTTAGAAGTATGATTCTTGGATTAAAAAACTGCTCATAACAATCTCATGACTTGACTATACCTTATATTTTAAACTATGTCAGAAAAAAACCTGTCTTCTGTTCAAGTGACTTTGTCTTACAATTACCTTACTTTTAATTAACAACTTCTGGTAAATAAGACCTGAACAAAAAAAATTAAATCCACCATCTATGACTGCCTAACAATATGACAATTCTTATTTGCAAAGCTTGGTGGCAATACTCAATAACTTCTTGATACCCGTCAGCTGCCTAGGTTGAAAAGATGATTAAGGAAACAAAGAAGAAATAATTACTGAAAAAGTGACCTCAGAAACTCCCTCTAAACCTGGTGATTTTTCATTTAAAGACTTTTGGAAGCATTCATGCACCTGATGATTATTTTCTAGAGAGCAGTATCATTTGAGACAATAAAAAGGTACTGAAAGTAGTTAAAAGTGTTTGGACAGACTGAAATCTAATTGGAAAAAAATTATCACTTTATTTAAAAATTAATAGTTTGCTTTTAAGCAACCTCAACTCAGGCAGGCTACAAAGAATCCCTCCAAAGGGCATGTACATGTTTATTGAGCCCTTACCATTCATTATCAGGCACTGTGCCACAAGGCAAATGTGTCTGCCTTTCAGAAAGACTACAATTCTTGCTGTTTCCCAGGGAGGTGGTTTGACCACTTAATGGAAGTAACTCCATGTAAACTCTGTAAGGGTAGGTCCATGTTTCTCCTTCCATACTGCTTTCTAACCAGCTCGCGTTAGGCACTTAAATTTGCTAAATAAGTATATTTTTACATAAAACCTTTATAATCATTTTGGGTATTTTTATGAGGTGATGTGTAAACCCAATTTAAAACTTTTGCTATTGGGAAACTCACAATAACTCCAGGAACCCATCAACTAGCAATCAGCATTAACCACCATTAACACTGAATACTTGTACTAGATTAAATAAAGAATAACGAGCTCTTTCCCACATTTGATACTTCCCTTCAAAATAGTTATATCCTTAAAGATACATTATGGTCTTATGCAAATTATACATTTTTACTTTTGATTCAAAATTCCACATCAACTATTGTCAGTTACAGATTCTTGGAAACATTGGTACAATCTGGGCTAGTTTCCCAATTTGAACTATGTTCATGCTATTTGAATAACATTTGCAATAGAACTGGTTTTATTATTATTTTTTAATAATTACACTTTAGAACGGTAAAGAAAAAACACTATAAAATTACATTTTGGGACTTTACCAAAATCCAACCGTTCACTGTAATTCATTGCGCTATCTAATTCAACCACTGGAAAAGTAACAGAACAAAGGAATAGAACATTTTACCTCTAAGCTCAGTAAAACAACAATTTATCACAATTTATTTAGAAGAAAACTACTAAAAGTATAACCCAGAAAGCTCTTGTATTAATACACATCTAGGAACTCAAGTGATGGCCATTTATTTCTGAGAAACCACTGTATACAAATTACCACACAATTTTTTTATACTATTAAGAATGAAGAGGCTATCTTAGTGAGGGGTCAAATAAAAAAATTAAATAAAAAATTTAAAACCCTGTAAAAAATTGATTGACCACACTATTTCAGATCCTACTCAGTTCATTCAGAATATTCTTTTCTTTAACAATCAGTAAAATTCATTACATACTAAAAATAACACCATATTTATGCACAAATAAATTCATTTTCCCAGTAAGAGCTAACCTTCCTTTAAGAAGACTTCCCACATATTCACAGTACATAATATCACAGAACACCCATATTTGGCCTAAGTGTCTCTGAAATGTAGCATTACAAGATGGAAGTTCATTGTGCCGGATGATATGATTGAGTTTTGCCCAAATGTCTTCCAGAGTTTGGTTGTTACAAATAGCATGCTCTATAGTCCATCTTGCTCTATAAAGTGAATGCAAATTCAATGCCTTTAAACTATCTCGCAATTTTTTAGACAAAGGAAAAATATTTTCAGTGCAATTACTGTTGGGAAGTGAAACACTCCAAAACCTCTTCTTGTGTTGTCTTCCCTTTTCTGATTGTTTATCTAAATTTCCAGAATTTGTCTGTTCATTCAGTGAGTGTGACCGGACTAAGTGCTTCCTTTTTTTAAAATTAGGTTGAAATTCCAAAAGATCTACTGTGCAATCATAACTCTGTGATTTAACATCGTGTTCTGAAATGGTTAAGTATTGTTTCACATCTTCAGCTGCCTCTTCAGAAATCACAGGTGCTGATCTTTTAGGTTTGAGTGGAAGTTTGGACGCATCATGTGAAAACCAAGGAATAAATCTCGATAGTGGACGTGTAGGAAAGTCTTGAATTGCTTTCTCTGCAATTTTTGGCAGTTGTGTGGGATCACTCTCACATGGTCGATAATGTAATATTACTTCTGTAGACATTCTGCAGTAATCCAGTTACTCTTAATGAAGAAAACATTTCTTAGATGCACTCTTCAGCGCTAGAATGTAATTTATAATTATAAGACTCTCTTTCCAAATCAGAAGGAAACAGGACCTAAAGTGGAAGTATTGCAAAGAGTAAGATATGGTAGGAGAGCCTACACACAAGTAGGGAAAAAGAAAAAAATAAAACTAGTCTCAATATATTTTACCAAGTGCTGTTGGTAAATCTGAATGTAATCCACAAAATCGGAAATGCTTTATCTCATCGGAGTAGATTCCCTACAAGATCACCTTCGGCCTAAAACTGCCAGGAGTCAACAAGTCTAACTTAACAGACAGAAAGGATTTGGAACCATTGTCATTAATAAATTTGGTAAATAATCTTAAGACTATAGCAGAAACAAAAGGTAAATTAGTGATTCTCAGAATACTAGATTCATTTGAAGATAACAAAAATGTAATAATACTTTAAAATTTGAGACATCTGAGTTGAGGACAATGAAAATCATTGTAATTTTTAATGCCTTGAGAAAAATCTTTATACTTTAAAATTATATGAATTCTACCAAATATATAGACAGAATACTTAATGATTTCTTTCTTTCACAGTAGCAACACTGGTAACATGAAAATAGTTTAACTCTGATTTTAACCAGGCTAGGAACTGGGTTTGTGACTAAGTCTCCTTTGTCTAAATGGGGGACTTTCACAGTATCAAGACATTAGTACCATGGCTCCTGAATTCCATTTCTGAAGAGGAAAACAAGACGGCTAGACCTTCCTTATTTTTTTCCCTCTTAGAACAAAGAATTCTTCAAGTTGTACCAAATGAAGTTGTTGATAATAAGTTCTAGCATATAGTTCGTCTTCCTAACCAAGTTCAAAGCTGCATGAGCCATAATGCAGGCTCTTTCAAATCCTAATTACTGTAGGGGGCAAAAAAAAAAAAAAGAGAGAGAGAGGTGGTATCTCTTCTCTCCCAAATCATGAGAGAACTCTTTGAAGGGGTTCTCCCATTGCTAGAATGACCATGGACGGGGACTCCTGTCATGATGTCACAATATTCATTTGACCACTGATTCTGAAGAGTCAGAAATAATTAATCTCATAATGATTCTTTTCATCTACTGTAAATGTCCACTAACAGTGGACAGATTTGACAACTTAAACTCATAAGTGACTGTGATCCTTAACATCCATAATTTTAATATGAATCTAAACATAGAGAGCATATTCTTAAAAGCATTAGTAATGCTTTTAATTTTTCTTTCCACTTGATCTTAGCCAAAAGGCCGAGAAGCGATTTTAATTTTTCTTTCCTCTTCCTTATACTTTCACATTCTAAGATATGGCACTGAAAATTCTTTGATTTCTTTTGAACTTAGTCAGTGTCATACCCTGAGGACTGATGAAATTCTGAGAGTTCCTTAACCTTTTATATAGACAAGAAAGTAAACTTAAATTACCACATAAATTGATATACTTGGCATTCAACAATCAGTAAAATGAAAATCTGTGAAAAAAAAATTTAATAAGTTATTTTATTTTTTATTTTTTAAAGTAATCCCTATACCTGATGTGAGGCTTGAACTCACCACCCCGAGATCAAGAGTCATATGCTCCCCCGACTGAGCCAGGCAGGTGCCCCAAAGCTTGTGAAAATTACTGATGAACAAGGGGAAACAACGGTATGGAGGAGCTTTAATAAAACTGAGACTATCAGTGAATTTCAAAACACTTATCCTTTTAGCCTGCTAAAATCTCTCCCAGATTTTCTTCTATTTCAGAAAATAAAGAGTAACAGAAAATTAAAAATACCCAATGGTAATTAGCTTCCACATTACTGGAATATAACTGTGTTTAATAACTTCCAATTTGCATAAAATCATACCTATCTGCTAACAGAACTGTTTCAAATTCCCATCAAAGTAACTAATCAGAGAATGTTCTCTGAAAATGCTGTTTCCTTCATTGGGAAACAATGAGTCTTGGAAAGATGGAGGAAGGCCTTGTGTTGAAATACTGCCTCCAATCACTCACTAGCTTTGTGATCCTGAGAAAGTTTCTAAAATTTCTGATAGATAGCAAAATCCACTCTACATACTTGATTTAAGATTAAGAAAAAACATGAGAGTTTCTTTTCCTTTTTCTCTAGAAGAATCCATTTTAGTCTAGCTCATTTACTCAGGCTAAGCTTACAGGTCCTGTTGCTGTATTACTTAATATTGTTGTTTTTTAGTTCTATGATCAGAGACAACCCTCTTAAACTAAGCTATCAGTATCTGATTTTATATTACAGATGGGACTGGTAAGCTTCTGGAATGTTTGATGCCTACTTCATAACTAGGGACGGGATAAGAGTCCCTCAAAATGGATGCCACAAGGAAGGTAAGTGCAATATAACTAAATTCAAACGTCTATTGAGCCTTTTCTCAGCTCAGTTCAAGAAGTTACTGGTAACCACACAGTAGAGCATCCAAGAAAGAAGCATCGCATTTGTTTAAGTAGAAAACAGATGGAAAAAAGCTTAAAGCGTTTTAAATAAAAGGTTTTCAGAAAACAGTAAGAATTCCAGAAAAACTATCCTATTGGTTTTCCCTAAATAATCATACAATTAAATCATCAAAGTTATTCAAAAAGTTTGCTGTGCGCACAAAACGAAAGTTGACATTAATTTTCCCGTATCCACAACAATTCGAAGTAAACTGAAGTTTTAACAAATCTAAATTATACGTTGTTGTACTATGTATTTCTAAATCCCTGGCACTACTTACTGCAATACTAGACTAACTTTACAGATGAAGCTGAAGCCTACTAACTTTATCAGTGCCACATGAAGACACAACAGACAAGGAAAATCACTGTAGATGGCTATTGTAAACCATCTTGGTTCACCAGGCTCTCCCCGGAGCTCGGGGCTAAAGCCAGTCTGTTAACTGCAGCATATCACACAATGAGTGATTTACCGGGTATCTATTCCATTCTAGAGAGAGGCTGTCAAACCTAAAAAGCAAAGAGAAGAAATTGCTTCCTTCCACTCGGCGCCAAAGGACAGAGCAGGAGCGAAGCCACTAACTGTTTAAGAAAAACGAGGCCTACATCCCAGGGACCAGATCTATGGGGTAAAGCCTTCGAGAATTACGACAGAAGAGGAGAAAACAGACTAAAGGGAGTCAGGTTCATAAAAGTTTACCTTTCAGGGCCAGCAGGTGCTCCTGTTTCGGGGGATTCACTTCCATTTTGACCGGCACTTTCGACCCACTGCCTACGGCAACTGAAGAGGTTCAGAGCAGCCCGGAAGAAAACAGAAAAGCGAACGTTCGGGAAGATCAAATCACTCGTAACAGGCTTTCTTCGCCGGTGATACCTTAAATTCTCTTCTTACCACGTCCTTCACGGATTCAACGGCCTCTTTTTACCAAAGCCATCTCTTGCCTCTTAGAGACCTATACATAACATACTTCCCTATTTTCAAGCCACAATCACGCAACGCGACTTCAAGAAATTTTTTCTCGGTGACAATACGTAGAGCGTCCCAAATACGTACATTGCGGAATGAAAGAGACGAATTTTGCATGCTGGGATTTGTAGTTTAAACAAAACAGCATTGCATGCAGGTAGATGTAGTCCCCCTTCTCTCCCAAGTCTATTCTGCAATTGGGCAGAGTTTGTTACTGAAGCAGGAGTTTCACCCCGGAAATTTACTTCTAGCTTTAGCCTTCTTTTTCCCTTTACTTTTATTCCTTCCATCAGCTGCAGACTCCTGGATAATAACAATATAAATAGCAAAGCCTTCATATATACAAGGATGTGCCGATAAACAGCTAGCAACTGGCAGGAGGAGGAGTCCGGAGGTCAAGCCAGCGACGCTCCGCGTCTTACTGCGCCTGTGCGCGGGCGGTGAACGCTGAGGCCTCTGGGTAGGTGGCTGGACCCCGCCCCTCACTTGAAGGCTGTGACGGCTGCTTCTGCGGCGCCGCTCCTCGTAGGATGGCTACCCTCATTGTAAACAAGCCTGGAGCGGGACTAGACAGTGGCCGTCAGGGCAGCCGGGGTACGGCCGTGGTGAAGGTGAGGGACCTTGCGTGCTCTGTTCTCCACCATCGGCCTCCCTTCGGTTCATCCCTGAGGTCTGGCGGCCGCGCTCCGGCGGTCTTCTTTGGGCCTTTGCGCGCCTCTCGGCTTTACAAGCCTTGCCATGCCCTCCGCGATTTTTATCTCTGCGGGATTGAAGTTGCTTGGTTTTCTGCTCATACCAGTCCTCTACGTGGCCGATGGGGACATTTGTGAAAAGGAGCTTATGGGCCTGTGAGACGGACTTCTGCCGGTCTTTGCTTAGTTCCTCTCCTTTTTGTTAAGCTCAACAGGCATTAGTTTATTTTTATTAAATTGAGCCATTGTTATTACCAGGTACTGTGTTAAGTATTTTAGCTCGTTAGTATCTACTTATAAGGTATATGATAATTACTGTTTTACAGGTGAAGAAATACAGGTTTACGTTAACACAGTGTGTCATGGATCCAGGGTTGAATGCCTTTAAAATCTGGTTTTCATTATTGCACTTCTTCTATAACCAGACAAACAGTAATGGTTGGTCTGCCCCCTCTTCTCTTATTAGTATAGTCTGTCAACAGTTTTTTGAGAAGTGTCCCTGCAGCAGCATGGCTGAACATTAACGTTAGGATATACGAATTGCCCTATGCTTCACGTTTGAAATTCTACGATGCTTAAGTGCTTCAAAACGCATTAACGAATCAATTGAAATATGTGGGATTCACATTTCCCTTCCACTGTATACGTATAGAAACATCAGCAAGGGAGAACTGATCTCATCGGTTTGTAGAATAACTTCCGTTGTTGTAATCTGAGTTATTGGTAATTCTCATTATGGGCTACATACTTAGAATAACTTAAAACTTAAAAAAAAAAAAAAAAACACCGATACACTCCTTCTCCCCAAGTTCTGATTAACTTGACATCAGTATATTTTTTAAACATTCCTAGAAGTGATTTTAATGTGCAACCAAGGTTGAAAACCACTCTATCAGATAATATCTGAAGTTAATTTGAGATCTTGGGTAATAGGCATCTATGATTTTTTCACCTAATGTTGGTTTTTATATGACAACAAATGCTACATTTCTGTTCACAGGTATGTTGCCAATTATTGATGGCTTTTGATTCATCTGGCCTTTGTTATTCTGAAGGTACACAGCATATCTGAGATACAGAGGAACACTGTTATTAGCCATGTTACATGGTCGAGGTTTTATGTATTAAATTGGGCTTTAAGGAGAGAATACCTGAAGATTTTTTTGTGAATTAGCTTGAATTAAGAAGTTGTAATTGGAATGGTTATTGTTGCTGTATCTACTTTTGTTACCCTAGTTGCTTTAAAATCTCAAAAAATATACGAAGGCCTCATATGACTCAAACTTGTTACAGCACAGAGTTTGATGTGTTACAGGTTCACTTTGTCTTTATCTTCACATGTAAAATGTGCCCTAGCTGTGCAGTAGGTTAGTCCTCCTTGGTAAGATGCTTATGCCGTGATTTGTAACTCATTCTCATTTTCATAGATGAAAGCAGAAATTACTCATTGGAAGGTGAGAGTTGAAGTATATATTGCTAAAAGGTAAAATAATGAATAAGTTGATAATGACAGGGTTTTTCATTAGAAAACTCAAAGATAAAAATCTGACATTATGAAATTATTTACATTCAAAAAAGAGTCAGGAAGGGAGGCCTGGGTGACTTAGTCAGTTAAGCGTCTGCCTTTGGCTCAGGTCATGATCCCAGGGTCGTAGAATCAAGCCCCACATGGGGCTGGCTCCTTGCTCAGCAGGGAGCCTCTTCCCTCTGCCAGCCATTCCCCCTACTTGTGTGTGCTCTCTCTCTCTGACAAATAAATAAAATCTTTTTAAA